AGATTTTTTAAAGAAACTCTTAATGTTACAAATAGTAGTCATACATGCAAACTAGTTAACATTATCATTTATTTATTCATTCGCTTATCTGATTATTACTGTAAACCTGAACCAAACTAACTATTACTAATGAACACTAATAAACAGAATCATTGAGAAACAATAGTAACACATGATCGATTATCTACATACATATGCAGACAAACAGATATATGGAAATGGTAATAGTAGTATTAGTGGTTTAGTTAGCTTTATTCTTAAATGAATAAATAAACCTTATTATTATTATTATTATTATTATTATTTCACAACAATAGTTGCTTATCTTGTTGATTCCACAGTTTCATGCACAAAGTACAAATAGTGTATTTTCATCATTATTTTTATTTCCATTATATAAACAAACACCTATTTGTTGCTCTGCATGTGAACCGATTAAAACACAAACCTAATCTAATGACCGCCATAAAAGTGTGTACTTTTAAAGTTTTTTTTTTCTTAATGAAATAAAGAAAACTACTTACTTAAAGGTTATTGTAAATGAAAAATAATACAACAAATCACTGTAAAGATGTAAAAATAAAACACTGAATATCAATTTTGTTCTAGTTTAAAGACACACTTCAATAGTTTACACTTTTGATCATATACATGTACGTTTGAGCCCATATCATCGTCGAGGCCATTGTTCATAGGGATCTAACAGTCAGTATGTCTCACTCTAATCAGTTTATAATGCATCATGATATTCATGTTAGCATGAGATCACACTTTCAAAGAACAGAAGATGGTAATTGAGTCCGCTTTCAAGTTACTTCAGTTCACATGGAAAATCCTATTCAGATTGTATAGCGATTCCATGAAATCATTTAGAAATGAACAACAATTATTACATAGTTTACAATTGTTTGAATTGGAAATGATGTCACAGTGGATTGGAAGGCGACGATTTGAATGTAAAGAGTTTATTGAAAGCTCTGAATATTTTATGTTTGATCTATAACGGTATAATGAATTTGCATTGTAACCCAATCCCAGAACCGTATGTGATATATTTCGAATTCTGTTTTATATGACTAGCTTGAATTAATACAATTTAAAACATATGTTACAATTACATAGTAAAAATATTTTAATGCTAATCGAAATCATCACTGATAACTCATTATATATGAGTTAATTCTTTTCCACTTAGAAGCTTTCTGATAGGGTGTCGACACTTTTATGAAGCTTTGTATTTCAAAAACCAATGCTACATTTTATCCAGTAAGTCATCAGTTAGAAGTAAAACTTCTCAGATTTCGATCGTTCATCTTTAACTTAATCACTGAGTTTGTGTTATTGATGACACAGTCGACAAATGAAATGAAAACTAAACAAGATTTTAATTCTCATTTAATCATTTACCAGTTTAGAAGAAGTGATAATTCTTTACTGGAAATATCTTACACATTATTTATTAGATTTTCTAAAGTCTACTGTTTATTAAATTTAACGTATCACAAACTTATCCCAATCAATTCATATTTCCAACGTATCACATTTACACATTTGAACTCATCAGTCGGTCATTGTTAGACCACCATTAGAAACCTGGGAGCACTGGACGGCCGTTTTGTTCCGGAATGGGACTCATCAGCAGTGCGCATCCACGACTCCTGCATCTCACAGGATTCGAACCCGGGACCTTCGGTATTGTGCGCGAACTGCCTAACCTTTGGACCACTGAGCCGGCGTCCGACGATGTGAATGTCTAACTCTGATTGATCTAGAAATTTAAGTAGTAGTAGTGCGCTCAACTGTTCCAACAACTGTTGTTTAACTTAGATTGATTTATAATCTCATATTAATAATGAAGTAATGTTATCCATTAAAATAAACTAAATTTAGAGGAAATAATATTTTGAAATTGTAAATTATTCTTAAGAATTTACCGTGTCTATCAAATACAATAAAGTCGGATTGAATAACTTGCATAAATACACTAATACAGATCTCTCAATAAAACAAATGATTAATTCATCTGGTGAACTGCCAGACATCGAGAAGAAATAAATACACTATGTATATTTTCTTAAGTTACACAATTGTTTCTTATTTATCAATCCACTTCACCTCTATTCTATAAAATGCACCAGTACACTTTGTTATCTGTTGTAATAAAATACATTTGTTTGTCTAGATTTTCAAAACTATAGTTAACGTTTAAATTTTGTTTCATAGATTATTACGCTTGATGAATTTTCATTTTCTTTTCTTTTCTCTGCTTTTATAAAATTTAAACTTACACCATGATGAAATCGGGTTGAAAAACTTTATCTACCTACGTTTTGTTCACTAACTCTTCTTACGTTATATCTATTCTCCCAGTACACATGTGTTATCCATACATTCATATACAGTCGACACATACAAATACACATATATTAAACAATCATTTTAATGTCAATTTTGTGCATCAGTTAATTAACAATGAACAATGATCAATATACTATATGGCAAATGATGTCAATTGTCTTTTGTACGCACCAATTGTTCATATACATTTCGTGGTAAAATAATCTTTGTGAATAGTCTAAAAGATCAAAACACCTGTTTACTTTATGATCAAATTTTGTACTTAGATATATATATATATATATCTGCAATAACCTAAAAACCACTACTGGTTTACTGTTTCATTCAAACGTGAAATTTTTCTAATAAACCGCTGATATATAATTTACTTATCTGAACTACTTCTTTCTATCAGTTCGGAAAAGTGTCATTATGAAAAAGTTTGTAACTTTACTCTGAAATAAAACAACAACAATAACAAAAACATACAAACAATCGTCTTATCAGTAAACTTTCAATATATTGTTCAAAATATTCGTTAACTATTTCAGACAAAAATAAAAAGAGTTAGTGGCTTAGAAGCTTAAAATTGATTATTCTTCCGTTTAGAGGGACAAGTTTATAAGTTTTGCCAGTTGATGGATAGCTTATCATAAAAGTCATCTTCAAACTATAGAAATCTATCATTAAAATCAATAAAAAAACGTTATATCTGAATGTTAACATTTTTTGTACTTTGCATCAGAACTTCATAATTTGTAAATGTCAATTATTGCGCCTATGATTCTAACAAAGAAACTAGATTATTTGATATTCATTCTCTAAAACTTGATAGTGAATATTGAACGTTGTAACATTTAAAATAAAACATCTTTTCACTGTTGACCGTGAAATAGCAAGTATTGATTTCATTGGAAACGGAAGATATCTCTTATGAATGAATATTAGTAAAGCATGATGAACAAGGTTTTTCAATTATTGAGAACCTCACAAAAGTAAATTGTAGTCACAGTTCATTGTCATATAAAGCTTTGATCACTTATGATACAGAGAAGTAATGACTGAATAGTCAATGTTTTTAAAAAATTGTAGTTACATGTCAATGAGTTAACGGTTTGCATTAGTTTAACCAATTTAAAATAAATAAACTTGAAATTCAATTCTTTCAACTGATTGAAACAAAATTCAAATCATGTTTACGTTTTATAAACTGCATGTGAAACTTTAAATGAACATTTCAATTTGAGTATAGAATACAGAATAAAGAAACATAAAAGGCATTGAACATATACCTTAGATTTCTTTTATATTTGCCCACTGATTACAAAGCTAAACTAGCTTATACGATGAAAATATGTATTATTTGGTGAGGGATAATTTCACACTGGATTAAAACCGCCATCTAATGCCTTCAAATTTTCAGTGTGTATGTTTAACTAATAAAATCATCAGTTAAACTACAAGAAATTTGTGAATCATTTTCCAAATAAAAAACAAACACTAACACTAAACGGTATCTATTTTATGGCAATATAAAACTAAGTATAATTCAATTCTTTTCTCATAGTATTATGTACACACTGTACTAGGAAATAGTTTCTAAAATCATGTCTGTTTTCATTATCTGATATGGTATGTTCAATGTAGATGGAAATCAAAACAGTATTCCACTGTTTTTTTTATCTTATAGTAATAAAAATAACACAGCTAGACAAATATTTGAAAATAATAGTGTTTATTGAAATGAATAGTGAAATTGCGTAAAATATACATCTAAGTATATATATATATATATATATATATATATATATATATATAGAGAGAGAGAGAGAGAGAGAGAAAAGAGGAGATTTTGTGAGCAATAAAAGTTTTCAAATATACAGACGTGTATCATAGTGATTAGTTTTTCTTAGTGAATGATCATTAATTTAAACAAACCATCTTCTTCGTTTAGTATCATATACTTAAATTTGTTCGAAAGCTTTTTGCAATTGAGAGGCTAACTGAATGCTGCATACATCTATTACCTTAATCATTCGCAATATGAATTTAGAGTTTCAAATAACTCATCGAAATCATGAATCGATCAATGTTAGACCACCATCAGAAACCTAGAAGCACCAGCCGGCCGTTTCGTCCTGATATGGGACTCACCAGCAGTTCGCACCTACGACTCAAATAACTAACAAAATTTCCATATTCGCTGGCATGAAATTGAATTTTGCTTGTAGTGATTATGATCGTGTGTTGTATTGTAATAAACAGGTAGCAATGAGCCTAGAATTAATGTTCTCTTGAAGTTCAAATGACTAGGAACTGATTCTAAATAACTGTTCAAACAATTTAAACTTTGTTAGTGCTTTATTATGTGAAAAAATAACTGATAAAGGTTGTTGAACAACTCATGGGATTGTGGAGATTGTTGGATACTATAGTTTACATCATCGATTAGTGTTAATCAGTAAACATTGAACAACTACTACTCCATCTTGATATGAGAATGCTCAATATTCCGCATCTAGAACGTAGCCACAGATCAATATCGCAGCGTGAAAAATTAAGCCTTCAAACATGAGGTTGACATTTGCATTTCTACTCAATGAAATGCCTTTATCAATCTATATTTAATTAATTAATTTTTTTCTATGATAATTATTATACAGGTAAAAATCTGGTTTCAAAATCGTCGGTACAAGTTAAAAAGACAAGTACAAGATAAAAATTTAGAAGAAGCTAGTGCATTACATTATCACTTACAAAATTATCCTATACCATTATTGCAACAATCAACGGAATTATGCAATCATGCCGCATCGATTACCAACTCATCATTACACAATATTACCAATAAGATAGATGATGTTTATGATCAACTACAAAATTGTACACATGTTTCCGAACTGAATACATATGATTGGGCGAATAAATTCTCTCAAACATATAATATCAACAATACTACAACTGTTACTACTACAGGTATTACAAATACTAGTAACAGTAGTAACAATATTTATGATTCCATGGAATCAGGATCTTCAAATCCATTGATTAATTCAAATAAAATATTCAACTCTTTGACTAGTTTCAATGAAGACAGATCTATTAAATATTCAAATCAATCCTCATCATCATCGTCATCTAATAATTCAGATTCAAAATTATCACCTTATCATTCCAATGAGAATACTATCAGAGATTTAAGCTATTCAGCTCAACAAATCAAATCAACTTTACCATCATCATTTCTACCATTATCTAAAGTGTATCCATTTCAGTTAGATTGTGATTCGACAAATGAATCAAACTATTGCGCAACACAGAATGAACAGAAATCCATTCAGCCTAATACGTCATTATCTCAACTGCAATATATTCATGAACAGAATAATGCAAATGATAGTCATGTTATTGATCGTGTCACAAATAATGTGAACTTAATTGATAATCATCAGAAAAACAGCCATTGTCAATTAAACTATTCGCATAGTCATAATGAATTGGCGGAAAATGCAAATTTCAATTCTCCACTAAACAATGACATTTCACAAGTTGATTTATCCATCTCTTTTTTGAACAATTTCAAAAATCAACCAAATCAATCTTTAAGCAATTTTTGCAATTCCGATTTCTATGATAATTATTTTATCATGAAAAAACATTTAAAATCGTTACCAACCTCTGCAAAATTCACATCAACAGAAGGATTTTCATTCGGCTCATCAACAGCAACAGCGACCACTGCAACTGCATTAATTGCAGAAGCAACTACTAACCCAATAGACACATACATGAATTTAGAACGATTTCAACAAAATCGTAATTGGTTTCCAAATAATTTATTTTTCTCATCAAATCTATCCAATACTGTTAGCAATGAATTGACCATGTTAACAAGTAAACATCATTCACAACTAAGTGAAACCAATAAAATATTTCCATTGTCACAATATGATGAATATAGTAGAGAATTAAAAGATTACAATGATCAAATTGAAAATATACACAATAAAAATCAAACATTTCCGCATTCAATGACTAAACTTGATTTGGAATATCAAACTGTATTGAATGTAGCTAAAGCTGCATTTCATTGTGAAAATATGATTTTGAATACGAAGAAGCCGCCATTTTCAAATTATACCGTTATCGAAACAAATGAACAGAAAAATAGAGAAACTAACGAAGAAGATGATGGTAATGAAAAGTTTATTACTTATCATGAATACCAATAGAAGTGTTGTTTTTCTCGCTATAATAATATTCTTCATTCACTCATTGAACATTGAAGAAGTCAGGGATAAATTTTGAAGGTTCAAACAAACTAATAGTTTTGTTATGTTGCATTCAAATCCTGTTCCATTTAATCAAGTTACACACACGAATTCATGAGTATAATTAATTGGAAGCATTTTAACTTTTAATATTACGCTTCTTATAACTTTTGCTGTTATTATTACTTGAGATTCTTTCGATTTGCATTACATACTACTGTTACAACTACTTATAGTATAAAATGTATACATTTATGTTTTGTTTTAGTAATTTTCAACTGGATCATTCACTTCAAATAATGATATTACTTAAAGATTGTCATTAATGGCAATTGTTTGTTTCACATATTTTAAAACTGGGTTTGCTGTTGTATTGGCTAAGTTAGCTTGCTTTTTTTAATGATAACCCTATCGCTGTTATTATAACTTCCTCGATTAGTTTTACTCCCTTTACTACTTTTATTGTTATAAGTATTATTAATTATAATAATGATATATTTGACATGAAAAGAAAAGGTACCTTCTTGAGCAGCTTTGATCATTTGATCAAACTAATTTGTCTATTAACTATTTATTTTTACTTTCAGTGTTTATAAATGATGTTTGATTTTATTTAATAATAAATGGCATAAATATTCATCATTGTGAACAATATTTTATGTGCATACTATGTACTTACTATGTACTTGTAATCTGGAGAAATCACTTTTCTACATGTAAAACAGTTGATGTATTTGATAGTATTTCAATTTTATGTCAATAGTTAGTTTATTGTTTAAGTGATGCAAGAAAGATAAGAGAACCAAGCTTTGTCAAAATTTACCAGTGTGTTAGACGAAATCTTTTTTTTTCGAAAAACAAACAAGAACGCTTCAAATATAAATCGAGCTATATATATATTTATAGCTTGGGTATTAAAAACACAAATCTGAAATTTTATGATAAAATTGGTCAAATGCTATCCGTGGAATTTGAAATAAATGTTCCGTGCTATTCGAGACTCGTTAGGTAGCTCAGTGTTTACATTTACATTAAGAACTAAACTCAGCACCTTTTTCCTTGCACTTCAACGCGTTATGCACTAGGTTACTAAGCCTAGTTATCCACTACGTGGTCTGTAAGTGCTCATTTACTCCCTTTGCCGATAGGAAGGACTAAAGTTGGATAGTCATCCTGAGTGGATAAACTCAATATTGTTATTTTTTCACAGATTCTCGTAAAATTGAATTATGGTTATATTAAGCCACTAAAATTTTTGACAAATTCATGTTATGTATACTACATTCCATACTTGACGAAACTACCACTAGATATTGAATTGATAACTGAAAGTTACCATAACTTCCATGAAACCGGAATTTGGCCTGTGCAAAATCATGGACATGAAATTGAGAAGAGTTCCAAACCATGAGTGAACAAACGTCCACCTTTTTCTCCTTATATTTATATAAGTATAAGTTAATTTTCATTTTCGACGAAAATTCTTTTTAAAATATATGTGACCTAAGCTTCAAGAAAAGTTTATTAATTTACATAGTTCTACTTTCAACGAATTCAGTAGCATATACTATCTACATAAATTTGGTGAGTAGTGAGTGGTTGAACAAGAGATTTCAACAGATAAATTATTTACATTATATTTAGGTTACATTGATATTTACGATCATTGCGAAGAACGCTTCGTTCGAAAATTCTTGATTATACTATGAGACTGCCTTAATAAGATACTATAGAACAACAATTTTATACCGAAAACAATAAATTTCTTCCTAATTGCTATATACAGTTTGTGGCGAATGTGGAATTTTCATCATTTAAATCACAAGCTGATCTAAGCTAGACAACCATGGATAACTAGGAAGAAGTGAATAAATGTCTTATTCTCTTTTGGGACTCTTCAACAGTACTCATGGCTAGGCTCACACTTTGTTTAGCGTGAAACAGTTATCTAGAAGAGAGGGTTGCGCGACGATTTGATAAATAAGCACAATACTGAATCTCGACTCACTGGTTTAGAGAGGTTAAGCATTAACGATGGAACTAAAGACGATAGATTCAATCACTTTTGACGTGTTCGTAAATGGACACTGTTAAGGAGTCCTATACTAAAACGAAATAGTTGTTCAGTTCTTCCTAGTTCTTAGTAGTCGTTCAGCTAAGATCAGATAGGCATTAAAACCATGTATTTCTGTTCTGCTTATTTAAAGTCTGTGGAAAGAAAAAACCTTTACGACAGGCTTAAAAGAACGATTAATGGTTACTTACTAGTCTTTGTTTTATTCTATGATTTTCCATTGAAAGGTAAATTAAAGTTGGTTTAATAAATCATGCAAAAATAATACGTTTCAAATAAAAAAGATCGAATAAGTGAAGAAAAGAGATTTATAACTGACATCAGAAAATGAGTTATTACATAAATAAATATTAAATATTGAGATATTCCCAGCAGCTCAAGATTGGTAATAGTATCATTCTGAATTTATAACTATGATTTACGCTTAACTAAGGCATTCATAAAACATCAATTTTAAATAATTAAAACTAACTGAGGAGTTTCACAGAATTCAGTCGATTTAAATTTCATAATCATTGTTCCCTTTGTTATCTTGAAAAAAACAAAACAAAGATTTGAGTATAGTAATATGAACTCATTTTATTTTGTTAGTTGCATACAACCTGTATTATTTAAAAATGAAAACTATGAAAAGGTGTGTAAAAAGGAATAAAATAAGTAAAAATCAACTAGTAAAGAACTAAAGTCGCATCAAAAAAGTGACAACACTGAAGTCAAACAAGAGGAAGAACTGCGAAGAATCTAATGTTACAAGGAAATAATGTTACCAAGATAAAAAATTCTTATCATCCTACTACGATTATGATTGAAATCATGAACCGATCAATGCTAGATCACTATTGAAAACCTGGAATCTCTTGGACGGTCATTTCATTCTATTATAAGACTTCTCCACAGTGCGCATCCATGACTCTCCAATAGTTATTACTGTTCTCTATACATCCAAATTTGTAGGGAAGGAAAATTACTTATTCTGACTCTACGGAATGTACATATTGATAAAGTTACTAGTGACGGTCAAACTCAGTACACATCACTTTGGCTGATCTAATTTTATTCACTAAAATATGTGTTAATCAATACCGGTCAACTAACCAAACAACAATAAATTTGAAATGCATCTCATTGAAATGTTTCGTTCATTTCCTTGAAAATCTTCAAGTTAATTATTCAATTCCATATTTGAAATTGAATCAATGCTATGAACAAAAGCTATAAACTCCAATTAGTCGTGATCTCTTTCGCGAATGGTTTTCTAGACTGAATTATCATTTTTAATACATTCTATTTTGTAATAAGCCATATTCCTAAAGTCTTATATGTATTTTCTAAGTGATGATGACATTTCTTTAGCTTTAAACAGTTGTTTTTTCTTATAAAGATCCATTTTTACTCTTTTGATCTGCGATTAATATACCGATCATTATCAGTCGACTTCATCATGTTCAGCGGTTTCTTTTAAACGATACTTTATTTAAAATCATGTGTTCACAGAAGGTAGTATGTTCTGTGTTGTAGACAACTTATTGTTACAAAAGATATTCAGTTTAACATTTTAAAATAATGAAGAATATATATAATCTTTTATATTATTAAATCAATTAATTAGAATGAATTCTAAGCATTCTACTCAAATATATATATATATATATATATATATATATATATATATATATATATATATATATATATATATATATATTCAGCTATACTAGTGGAATTGTGCAAGTCTATTGTATAAGAGCACAAAAATAGATTTAGAAAAATTTAAATTTTTTTTTCGTTGGTTCGAACAATTTAACTATAATGATCAAATCAATAATATGATGATTATTTATAGACTGAAATAATATCAACTATAAATGTAAGCTATAGCAATCATGTTAATCCATGTTGAAGCAGAGGAAGAAGAAGGAAAATATGAGAAAATTTTAAAATAGAATTTATATTTGAGATTTGAACTTCAATTATTTGGACATGAACATTTCAGCAATTCACAATTGTATCAATCATAAAGTCAACTATTTTTTATGTGGCACATAAATATTTAAGTGCCAATCTGCACTAAGTGTTTCATATGTTTAAATAATAAAAAAAACTGAAATAATGTATCAATCAATAGATGAACTTTTATTAGAGTAAGCCATTGTGAAAACTAGATTGATATCCCTTAAAATTTATCATCAGTAAGTAATAAATTGTGATGTGAAATATTGTGGACAGTATCGGCTACCGCTCTACATCATAACACCATTTCAAACATGGTGATATCTTTAGCTATTCTTTGATTACTTACTTTCTCTTCTATTACGTTATACTGTTGTTATATTGTCAAGTTCATCATTGTTATTATATTAGCAAATTGGTTGTATTGCATTTTTTTATTTCTCTTAAGAACCACCACTCTTCATGGCCAGTCAGAGTAGGAAATATTCGTAGGTTACTGGTTTTCGATTATAGATGTCTTCGAAGCATTGCTCGTGTGTCTTGGGACAACCGATTAGGCGATGCTGTAGTTAGGAAACAAGTATTAGGTAGGTGTGGCAGATCAATAGATGAAGTGGTGAAACTTCATCAGATGAGGTGGCATGGACATGTGTTACGAATGCCCGACCACCGACTGCCTCGTAGAGCTATGTTTTGTGGTGTAGGAGTAGGTTGGAAAAAAGCTAGGGGCAGCTAGACCAAAACATGGCAGAAATCCATGAAGTCACTGACAAGTGGATTGAGCCATGTTGGTAGGCGTAGACTACCTGGCTGGGGTTTTCGAGACAGTGGTAACCGATGGTTAGAGAATTTTAATGACGGTTCAAAATGTTTGCGATGATGCAGGTGCATTCATTCTTTATCTTCTCTCACACAACTTTATGAGCGCTTTTTTAAATTTATTTCACTGGATTATACTTGAATAATTTCTTTGAATCCTAACCTTCTCCATTACCGCTACTACATCTACTACCTACATCTACCACTATGGGATTCGAATTAACAATTCGATCTCGATGTGACAATGTAATATGGCAACTTTAATTGATGTACGTACGTACGTACGAAGTTCTACGTTATAACTGATTGACTGAATGAAAAATAAAGCATACTTATCAGGCACTTAAATAGCATAGAGAAACTAAAACAGAAATCCGAGTGTTCAGATAATTTGTATATTGTTATAAACATATTCAATGAATTAGTGGGTCTATCGGTTTACATTTTTTATTGGTAATTTATTATAAAACTATGATATCGTTACACTATTTTTCTTTATAGAAGAAGAAACTACGTGCTCATTTTAAGATTAGTCAATTAATTTTCTGTTAACAAACATCATTTTCTTATAAGTAAATTCGCGAGAAAACTCTGATCACCCAAAAGGAAAACTTAATGGACTACTAATCGATTCAAGGTTAACCGGAAAAAAAAGATGGAGATAATGTTTCCAATGTAATTTTCAAACTATATCTCCGTCCTATTAGATTATCCATGGGCGGAAAAACTAATGTTTAGTTTAGCTTCTTTTTTAAACTGGCGATTGATATGAGGTGGGTGGAGCAACTTAGTTGATCGATATGTCCCCGTGTCTGAAGTAGTAGTGTGGTGTGAGCTACTTATAAGTAGTATATGACGTGAGTGTCAACGTAATGTCTGGCAGCAGAAGATGGGGGAAGATCAAGAAAGGAAGAGTTAGAACACAATGGAATTTGTATGAAACGCATGAATAGTGACAACGGATTGACGTTTTGCAACAGGAACAGTCCAGTTCGATATGATGGACTGATATTTTGCAAATCAACGATTTACGATATGGTTTTCCGATTTTACTGAGTAACTCTGTAATTTCGTTAAATAAAATTCGGTTGCCCCACCTGTGTTCTCCTTCACTACAGTAGTAGTAGTAGTAGTAGTAGTAGTAGTAGTAGTAGTATTAGTAGCCAATTAACGTTTAAATTAAGTCGCATATTTAATAAAACAGAAAATACATCATTATACAGAGTACATATATGTATTTGTTTATGACAAATTCACGGTAAATATGTGCAATTTTATTATTATAAAGAAAAGAAATCAAAGATATGCATAGGATAATAATAATAATAATAATAATAATAATAATAATAATAATTGTAAAAATGGAGCACAATAAGAGATAAGTAGTAAAGGAGAGTTACGCGTAGGGATGATAATAACACATGGGAAATTTACAAAAAATATATTAGTCAGTAGTAGTAAACAAACAAATGAAAGAAACAAAAAAAAAAACAATTTTGAGTTACAAGGAATACTGTGAATGAATGCGTATATATAATATATATATATATATAAATCGTCACTCAATATATATATTATCCTACATGTGTGGCATATATGTGTCTATATATATACAGAAATACAATATATATATATATATATATAATGTATTGAATTATTATTATTATTATCATCATCAAAATAAAGGTTTCGTCTAGTTGAGTATGTTGCCAAGGTACTTTTTCCATTCAAAAATAACAACAATACAACTATAAAAAAAAAACAAATGTTGGTAAGAGAATTACATAAGTACTATTGTGGAAATTAGTGTATAAAACATAGTAAGAATTATCAATGCTAAAGGTGTTTTAATATAGACGAATTGAATGTTGTGAAGCGTGAATTCTATTTGTGTGTGTGTGTGTAATTACAAGTAGATGATGATAAGGGGGAAGAACTATGAATGTAATGTCATTTGAAAGGTAAAGGGAAAGAAGCGATGCCAGTAAGAAATACAACTGACAAATAGTAGGGGATTAATTAGCAAACAGAAAAGAATAATTAGTATTGGAAAAAAGGTAAAAACGTTCGACGTGAACAAAATAAATCAAACAAAAAAATAACAGATTTGAGCGTTTTAAGACAAAAAAAATTTTTTTGTGGTGAATGCCACACAAATATCAGTAATTATAATTGGAATAATAATAATAATAATAATAATAATAATAATAATAACAAATAGTAGGAACAGCATGATGTACATAATTGTGATGAAGTGTAATGAGCAAAGCACTCACTCTAAGACGAAGAAGAAGAAGAAGAAGCCATTAAGACATCTTAAAAACACAACTAGGACCATCAGGAGAAGACAATCAAAACTTGATATGACCTAGAAATTAAAAAATAGAATATATATGGATATGTATTTTTCAGCTTAAAAATAACAAAGTCTATAGTTACTTATCTTAAACAAAGATGGATGGTGGGCTAGTAGTGGAGCCATATGTTCAGTGCTATTCGAGACTGTTTAGCTGGATGTATCTAGTTATCAATCAACAACACCAGGTTAATTTATATCGAGACACCCAACTTGGTCATATTTGAAACCCGATCCATTTACTTCGGTTTGAGCAACAGGATCATATGATTGGTTTTCTCACACAGTGTGGTTCATACTCAAGTACCTGGTCAATGAGTTTATCTAGTATTGAATTTTAATTAAATTAAGTAAACTTGATGCGATTTGGTATTACGATTGAGAGTGATGAAAACTTAATTTTTCTTTAAATTTTCTCATAAGAACGCTCTCTCCTATCGATTCTCCCAATTGCTTTTACACAGCATGAAATCGCCGTTGCCTCTTCGCTGTGTCCACCTACGCCCCCACTGACCGCAGTTCAAACGAGGTGAAAGATGAGTTCTACAGAAAGCTTTCGGACCTCCTCCAAAAAGTTAGGCACCCTGGTATAGTTATAATGGCTGGTGACTTTAACGCTCAAGTAGGTAGACTAAGTGAAAAGGGAAGACACTTTGGTGGATTCTATGGTGTCGCGGCTCAGAGAACAAACAATGACGACCGTCTGTTTCAACTGTGCTCAGAGAATGGCCATTTCTAGTAAACACTAACTTGAGGCATGAGGAAAAACATCTGTTGACCTGGCGACCCCCAAAGTCATCTCAACGTTGGACCAAATTAGATCACATCTCTGTAAGCCATCGGTGGAGAGGCTCTATCGAAGACTGCCGCTCATTCTCGAGCACTTGTTTAGACTCAGACCATGCTCTAGTGAGAGCGCGTATTTGTTTGCGTCGTACTGGACGTAAGAAGAATATCGAAAGGAAACCTCTTAAGGCTCTTCTTAATGATAATAAAGCAAAGAATATATTTCAGGAACAACTAGAAAAACAGTTAGGCAGCCATGTAGTAAGTGATGGTCACCCTGAGGCAGCTTGGAATGATATCAAAAAGGCTGCGAAAACAACAGTGATAATTGCTAGTAAGGTAAACCATAAGTCAAGGAAGAAGCCGTGGATCGCAGTAGCATCCAACGAACTGATAGACGCCCGTAAACTCATCCCTCTTGGCTCTGAACATGATGAAGAGCGGAATCAGCTTAGGAGCAGGCTGATTAAAAGCTTATGCAATGATCACGAACAGTGGTGGGTAGCGAAAGAGAGAAAGATGCGAAAGGCAATGGCGATAAGCAACAGTAGACAGTTGTTCCGACTTATCAAAGAAACCGGTATGAGAAGTCCATCTGTCGGCGAAACGGACTCAGAAAAGGATGGTCTTATTATTCATTTTCAATCCAAGAGATTGGATTGATAAGCAGAACACTTTACGGATCCGTTCAGTTAGCCTTCAGCCACAATTCGGTTACCCACGATCTCCAGTCATCCTAAATGGGGAACCGACATAAGTTCTCCGAGTCTTTATGAAGTTGAAAAAGCTATAGGAAATCTGAAGCGAGGGATAGCAGCAGGACCTGATAGATTTACCGCTGATATTTTTAAGAATGGTGGTCCAGTTTTAACAGTGAGACTGACTGAGATTTTAGGTAGAATCTGGGCACTAGACGTAATCCCATCTGACTGGTCTCACTCCCTGATTGTCCCAATTTATAAGAAAGAACAAAAGTTTTCCTGTGACAATCACAGGGGAATCAGTTTGACTAATATGGTTTGTAAATTGTTAGCCTCAGTTATCCTTAGACGCCTAACTAGAGCTAGTGATGAGCAGACTAGAGAAAACCAGGCTGGTTTCGGACCTGAACGTGGCTGCATAGACCACATTTTTACACTACGACATATCCTGGAACACAGACACACATTTAGGCATCCTACAATAGTTGTGTTCCTGGACCTTGAGGCGGCATTCGACTTAGTGGATCGTGAGGTTCTGTGGCAGTGTCTGTCATTGAAAGGTGTACCAAAGAAGTACATCAACCTTATACAAGCTCTCTACTCGAACACTACTAATCAAGTTAGAGCTTAAGGCAAACTGCAATTGGAGTTGGTCACTTCAGGGATGTCCACTTTCCCCATTCTTGTTTAACTTTGTCATACACATGCTTCTAGATATAAAATTATTTTCGTCTGACCTTCCAGCGGTGGACCTCCTACCAGGAGACTCTCTTGTTGACTTAGAGTATGCTGATGACATAGTTCTATTCGGTGAAGACGCTAACAAAATGTAGTGTCTCCTGAATACCATAAGCAACAATGTGAGCATGTTCGGGATGCGATTTTCCCCGTCGAAATGCAAAATGTTGCTTCAGGATCGGCTTGTGTCGGCACCTGAACTAGTGACACGGAGTGAAGCAGTTGAGCATGCTGACCGTTTCACTTATCTAGGGAACCTCATCGGTGCTGATGGCCTGGTGACTGACGAAATGTCAGAATGGATACAGAAAACATGGCCACTTAAAGTAGAAGATATCTGTACGTTACTGGTTTTCGATAATACGTGTCTTCGAAGCATTGCTCGTTTATCTTGGGATTATCGAGTAAGTAATGCTGTTGTTAGGAAACGGGTAATGGTAAAGATGGCAGATCAATAGATGAAGTAATGAAACTTCATCGATTGAGGTGGTTGTAACATGTGTTACAAATGCCTAACTATTGACTGGCTCATCGAGCTATATTTTTCGGTGTAGGAATAGGTTGGAAGAAAGCTAGGGGCGGCCAGACCAAAACACGGCACAAATCCATGAAGTCACTGACAACTGGACTGAATCATGTCGGTAGGTGTCAACTACCTGGTTGAGGTCCGCGAGACGTTAGTAATCGATGGTTAGAGACCCTGAATGACAAGGCTCAAAACCGTTAGCAATGGCGCAGGTGCATTCCTTCTTTGTGTTCTCTCAAATCCCAAACTTCTTAATTCCTCATCACTTTTTATTTTTCTTTTTAAGTCTATTTCACTAGATTCTACTTCTTGAATAATATCTTCTAATCCTGACCTCTCCGACTACTTGCTAATACCTTTACTACCTACGTCTACTACTATGGGATTTGAATTGACAATTACATCTCTGTGCTAGTGTGGTATGGCAACTTGAACTGATGTACATACGTATGTACGAAGTTCTACGTTGCTGAATAATCATTATCATCAGTGTAAGTCAGTCATATACAATGTAAAACCTAGTACATTTGTACATTGTTTCAATTTACAATACTATATCAGCGAGGTGTTAAGGAAACTATTAAACATCTAAAAAAAGAACAATTTCACCATTTAAAAAATTGCAAATGTTTAAAACTTTAAAATATATAAAGAGAAAAGAAAAAACAAACTGAAATTTACTTACATTAAGTCAATTAATCTAAATTATCCTGATGTTGTTACGGGTGACACAGAACATGTTGCTGAACAAAAAGATAATGTAGAATTCGAAGATGTTTGTACATCGGGAGTGGTTGATTGTACTATGCATACAATATTGTCATTATTAGAATAATTATTAGTTTCATTCATATTATTAGGAAAATATAATTCTGTTAAAGGAGCTGTATTCTTAATTGTATCATTGTCAGTAGAATTGTTACAAATAGTACTAGTAGTAGTAATAGTAGCAGTAGCAGTAGCAGTAGTAGTAGTATCGGCAACTGTACTACCATTTATCACGACTGAATTATCAATATTACTTTCGATATGTGGATTCGGCATTTCAGAATACGCATTACTATTATTATTATTATTATTATTACTATCAGTTTGATAAGTGGAATCATGTACAATAGAAAATTTAGACGAATGTTCTTTATCTAAACAATGCATTAAATTAGATGTGTACAATACAGGTACGGATGATGACAATGATAACGGTGCTGTCATTGATGATGATGACGATGATGATTGGACAATTAAATAATTCGATGTAGTAGTTGCAACGACAACATTATGAGTTGTTGTTGTGGTTGTTGTCGTCGAGGTTGCTGTTGTACTATGAATAATCAATGCAGAATCAGATAATGATGAAAAAGAATATGGAAGACTAACTACTGCTGCATCACCAACATCATCGTCATCATCACCGCCATCGTTATTTGTTGAATTGATTAGAATTGACGAAGATGTTAACTTATGCGAAGGCTGTTGTTGGTGTTGTTGTAGCATAGAAGAAGATGATTGACAACTAAGTAATGAATCTGCATTATTATTATTACTATTACTATTAGTAGTAGTATTGTTGCCAGCATTATCAATACTAACCGTAATATTGTCCACATGACTCTGATTTTTCACAATGTCGAATGAATCAATTGTTAATGATAAGTTTGTTGGTGCTGCTGATGTGGTAAAACTGATAGAGGGAGAGGATAACGGTTGTTGTTGTTGATGTTGAATATTGGATAACAAATTTCTAGATGAATCAATTAATTCCGATGCAGGAAATTTATTATCTACAGTCAATATATTAGTTCGCGATGATGATGATGATGCTGATCTAATAGGTATACCAAGGCTACCATCAATACCAACGCCAACAATGATAACAGGTGTTGATGAAACGGTTAGCCCTAAACCAGTTTTATTGATTATCTCAGGATTACTGCTAGCGCTGTTAGTATTGCCAACAATAATACCAGTATTATGATTACTACTGTTCAATGCACTTACTGCAGCTGCGGTTGCACTGGCCACAGCATTTGCATCAGCAGCTGCTATTCGTGCATTTAAACTAACTGTGGAACTATTACTATTATTATTATTACCATTATTATTACTACTATTACTATTATTATTATTACAAGTACCAGTAACAGTACTAGTTATATTTGATAGTTGACTAAGAAAACCTCTTGGTTTCGATAACATAAATGTTGATTGAACAGAGCATACTGAAATATTATCTGTATCACATAATGATAATGGATTCATTAAATCACCAACTGCTGGTTCTGCTGCTACAATCATTGCTGTCAATGGTGTGACTGAACATTGGACAACATTTTGTCTTGTTTCTTGATTAGATAAAAATGTATCAGAAACTGTTACACTAGGACAAGTTAACAATAAACTATTATTATTACTAGTACTATTTGTAGGTCGACTATTTCCAATAATAAGTCGTTTATTGTCAAGACTAGCAAAGTATGCATTAACTGATGGTTTTGGTGGTAGCATAATAGTAGGAGTATTCAATGAATCCATTGTTGAACATGTATTCACATTACAAACTGATATGATTAAATCAGATATTGACTTATTGGTTACATTAATTGTTTTATCCAATGGAACATTACTAAGATCTTGTTGATGAGATGATATTGATGGTGAAATAGTTGATGATAATAACATATGACCTGATGATGATGATGATGAAGACAATGTGCTGGGTAGATTACCGTCAAGATTACATGTTAAATTATTTGTCACTGGAATTTGATCTAATGTATTGGAACGTGATAAAAGATAACTAAGATTAGTATCAGCTTTAGTGATTTTTGATATTAAACGACAAGTTGTATTATTAATTATTGATTGACATGATATATCAGAGGAACATGTAAGTTGAAGATGATTAGTTAAAGGTGATTGAACATTTGATAAAGGTTTATATGATGATAATGTAATGTACGAATGAGTTGGAATATGTGTATTATCTGTATTACTAGAAGTAGTAATAGTTGATGGGATGGATTTAACATCAGTAGACATAGACGATGAATTGACAAGTATTTGATGAAAAGTAGTTGTTGTTGATGATGATGATGGATAAGAAAATTGTTGACTTGAAGTATTTTGAATAATCGATGATGAAGTTAAATGAACCTGTTGATTCGTTGTTAATAAATCAGTTTGACTACGAGGAACTCGTCCACTGAATAATGATGATGATGATGACGATGATGATGGTGATAATAAAACATTCTGAGGATCCATGATAGTAATATTGCTAATACTACTATTATTACTATTACTATCAAATCTTAATGATGTAGGTGGTGGGAGAATTGTAATTGATGCAGTACCATTGTTGTTATTACCATTTTTATTATTATGATTATTAGGTGATGCAGCAGCTGCTGCAGCAGCCACAGCAGCTTTCAAACTATTACGTAACGTGTTTACATATTGAATTTGATAAGCATCGAAATCAAGTTCTTGACGTAAAGTTCCACTGAGAATAAACTCTTCATGATGAACAGCTAGGAGTTGTTGACAAAGAAAGAAATCAACGAAAAATAATACTGACAATAAGTAAAATAACACCAAAGATGAAAATATTCAGTTAATTTCTGAGCAACAACTGGAGAACAACACAACTGATAATTGTTGGTAATCTATCATTCTCTGTTTTAAATAAACTTGACAAAAGAATTTTCTATAGTTTAGTTTCAATATCAACATGATTACGAAAAGGGGTTTTTATTTATATAAGGAATGATTTTTTTTCCTTTAATCACAAATTGAACACTTTAAGCTGCAAGTAATGAATATGCTGTGTACAGTAAGAAAGTCTTTGATTATATTCACATCAACACAGTATGAATTCAAAAGACAGTTAGGGGTATACTGCCCAGTGGTAAAAGTAATGTCAATATATCATTTAGTCCATGGTAGTATTGTGGTGTGAGCTACTTATAAGTAGTATATGACGTGAGTGACAACGTAATGTCTGGCAGCAGAAGATGGGAGAAGATCAAGAAACGAAGAGTTAAAACACAATGGAATTTGTATGAAACGCATGAACAGTGAAATGTCAGACAATGGATTGATGTTTTGCAACAGGAACAGTCCAGTTCGATATGATGGACTGATATTTTGCAAATTAACGACTTACGATATGGTTTTCCGATTTTACTGAGTAACTCTGTAATTTTCGTTAAATACAATCTGGTTGCCCTACCTGTGTTCTCGGTCACTACAGTATTATCGAAATTCATCGACTGATGTCGATGTAGATCTGTATTAACTGATGTCTGTCATCTAGTAGCAACGTAGAAGTGAACAGTACATAATACATGCTCAATAAAATGAAATTATCAAGACAGAAAAATTAGAAAAGGTAAACAAACGTCAATCGATGAAGATTCACCATACTATCAATTAACTTAGTGTACAGCGTATCATCTCAGCACTGTTTTTTTCAGTTATCTCAGAATCTATGAGCAAGGCTTCAAGAAAGTTAAATTTGCATTTTTTTTTTTCATCAAGATTATGCTCGTGGTGGAGTTCCGCTCTCGGAGCTGAAGTTTATGTTGATGATGTGGTTCAGAAGAACAATGAAAGTTCCACAACCAAAACATCCAGCTCAGAGAACGAAACCCCACCACAATCATCCACCTGAGCTACAAATTTTCTTCACCATCTCAAGATTATGCTCCTTATAGAGTTTCACAGCCACATAATTGATCACTATAATAATAATAATAATCACTATAATAATGATTTTTGATTTTGGTATTAAATGCAACCGCTTAGAATTTCACGGAAACAAACATTTTATTGTGGTTGCAAATACTATCTTCTTGATGATTGTAGGAAACATGGGTTCATAATAACCTATCGATTCTAGCTAACCGCAAGCATCAGACAAATAATTACATAGTTTATAATTATTTGTCACACATTTTATTATGAATGACCTCCAAATTTCACTAGTAGTGCATTTTTAAAGCATACTTTGATTGATAGATAATTCTTAAGGGGAAAACAATCCCAAAATGATAAATCAGTTAAGTGGTTCAATAAAAACAATAAAGACTGCATTGTTTAGGAAAAATTAGTACAAATCTAAAAAAAGACATGAAGTATATTCTATAACTAGTGTATCAGCCAAAAAAGTTATCATCTTAATAACTATTTGCTCATACATACTGACGGATTAAAACAATAACCTTCAACTATCCAAAACGAAATAAGTAAAGCAGAACTTCCAACCTACAAAATCACCATTGAATAACAAGTTTGGTGGTTTTGAATATACGAAAATCTCACCTTTGTTGCCTGTTTTCGTACGCATTAAATAATTAGCCACATGACTATCATCTTCATGACATATAATCAATTGTTTCGGTTGTGCTAATAACGCCATTTTTTGTGTTGGCCGCCTTTGACGTATTATGCCATGACCAGCTTTAATTAATGCAATACACATTTCACGATGACATGCACCTGGTGAAAACCAAAATTCTAAACCAGCAAATAGACCAGCTTCTGGTCCAATCATTTGACGTTTACGTGCTATACTAATTGATTTTTTCAAATCAATGCCCAATTGAGCTTCAGAATCTGGATCAGATAATATCCAAGGTGTTTCATCTAAGATAGAAAAATATACAACAAAATACATGAACAGTTGAACAGAAGTACACAACAGTGAAGTTAGGTGGATAGAAACAGTCAATGGGAAATGCCGATGTAAATTTAAATCTTACGAAGATTGTGCATCCTGTCAACATGGTAGGTATGCTTTACCATTGTACAATTTCCTGACGATTAACTCCAACCACCTAACATGTAGGCATAACCTATTGAAATGTTCAATCACTTAAACTTAGTGGCCGAATCGTACCTTCATCAACTGTATTTGTTCAGCACTGAAGGACTACACAAACATGGTATTGGAAACTACTCAGTGATCAATCATTAATATATATAAAAGACTAATATTTGATTAATGAGTAAAGTGAAATAGTGAAATAATTAGTGTAATATATTTATTGAATCCAAGCTTGAAAAAGTGTTTATATAATCGTTAACAAAATATCCAGTTGTTAATTTCAAAGTGGAATGGAATAAGAGCATCTAGTTGAGAATTAAGTCCGCTTATTAGGACTGTATACTCATACAATATAAAAATAATATTGTAGCTGTTTAGTTACTTGACATAAAAATATGATGCAATACAATCCCATAAATAAAAAATTGAAAAACTTATATGTAAATCATATTTACTGTTGTAGTGAGTGTTTCTATGTAATTAACTTAGGGTAATCAAACTTTTTCCAAGGTCAAATCTATCTTATGACTATATATCAATAACAAGAACGTGGAGAATAACACACTGCAATTTAGTGACTCAAAAGATTTGAATGATAAACTAATCAATTCACCACAAGTTTAAATCCATTTTAACAAAATCTTATCTTAACAACTACTCATCAACAACACTATCTTAGATGATGTGGTGTGACAACCTGAACTTATGTATATAAGTACGAAGTTTTACGTTGCAAATGACAACTGGTACAAAATACTTGAATGATGAAAAAATATTTGTAATTCAAAATGATTAGCGTAATCAATTAAACCATTTAATTCAGGAAATAAAACGCCTCTCATATACTTGAATAGTAAGTACACTGATGATGCATTTTATTTGTTTACTTATTTAAACATATAATTAGTGGTACGAAAGGGCCACCCAAATATTTATACGTTATACAAATTATTGCATTTGTGAGTGGGCTGGGATACTTACTACTACTCTCAGGGTACGCTAACCAAAGTGTAAGCAGGTTAAATAATAAACACAATAAATCTAAATGTTAATAAATAGTGATTTGAATAGAACATTCTTTCTTTATATGATGCAGAGTGAATGCATTATCAATTAACGCTCAAATCGATAAGTAACACATTACAGTCAATTGAATGAGGAACACTATGAATTAATTACTCTTTGTCACTATTGAACTTGAAGAAAAAAATTCATTACCCAACAAAATCAAATATATTTCGCTAAATTAACAACAATAACACCAAAAAACATGCTTACCTAACCAATAACCACACATAACAGAAGCTTGTATCCATTTCGGTGTTACAACATAACAGCCTAAAGCAACTGCCATGTATGTTTTCGGTGTACGAATTAATCGATTAGCTATTAAATGAGTAGCTTCTTCAGCTGAGTCAACAATTTTACAATCTGGTAATTGTAAACATAATTCTGTTAAACTTAATCGTGATTCTAAATCAATTGCAGTGAATGTAATCTTGATATCTGTACAAACAGGTGGTGGTGGTGGAGGCGGCGGTGGTGGCGGAGAGGGTGGTGGTAATACAGTGGTATCATCATGATAATGAAGTGATTGATTATTTGTTGAATTTGTATCAGCATTACAAACAGTATGAATCAGATTATTTTTATTATTATGATGATGATCATCTGTAGTTTGTACAATATCTTCTACAACTAGATTATCTGTAGTATCATCATCCATATGGCTACATGATTCTGAGGTATCTTCTTCTAAACCATCCAATTTGTCATCGATTTTATTTACAACAGGTAATATAACTACTGAATTGTCAGTATCAAGTTTCACATGATCATTGAACACGGAATCCGATGTGTTTTCAGTTACTTTCATTTCATTTTGACAAGCAGAAAAAGAAGTGATGGCAGTAGTGGGAGATGTATGCGGTAAAGTGGAAGAAATGACGGGGCAGTAAGTGGTCACAATGTTAATTATTGTTGAATTGGAGTCTGTTTCAATTGCACGTCGTTTACTATCCATCATCATTATATCCTCTATAGGACTAGTGGCTAAACGTTTACGAACTATATCATCATCGTCACATGATTGATTAGATTGAACAGTTGAACAAATATTAGTACTACTGATAGATGTGGTATTTGTTTTAATTGTTAAAAGTTCTGTCGAGTTATTTGTAGTATTCAATTGATCAATACTATCATGGACATCTTTTATAATTATTGAATCAGTAGTAATATTATTATCTAGAGAAACTTTGGTTGAATTATCAATCATTACAATATCTGTATCTTGTTGTTGAATGATTATTACTGAATTATTTTCTGGTTGAGGTGAATTCATAGTATCATCATTCATTTCATTTACATCAGTTTTATTGAATAAACAAGTGTTAGAAGTATCATCTACTTGTTGAATGTTATCAGGAATGTTGACAGTATCATCATGACATTGATCGAGTTCATTCTTATTTGACTCGTTATTGCCGACTACTACTTTCTCAATATTATCAATTTCTTGACGAGCACCAATATCATCTGATTCAAATGTCTATAAAATAACAGTTAAAAAAAAAGTTGAAAAGAATTCGTAATATATATTATAAAGAACAAGTTGATTTTGATGATTGAGAAATGTTATATGCCAGTAATTTTCATCAATTAAAAAAATATCATGAACAAGTAAGTAATGAAGGAGCATTGTTTGGGTGTGTCTTGTTCTAGTACGAAACTTGAATAGTGCAAACTCAAAAGCAAATCACACAGTGGAACTCAATGCTTTTACTTCGCTCATTTAAGTGCTCGGTCACAAATAAAAATTGGAATCCAATGTTTTATTTTCCATTTTATTCAAATCAATTGTGAATGACTGGCCTGATTGAAGCAATGACAGAATTGGAAATATATTAATGATTCAAGGTTTAAAACATTGTTTTAATGTTCAGTATTACTCTAGTGATAAATGGTCACTTCATCGAAATCAGATACGCAGACGGCTAGCCCCTGATCAGCCCATGCTAGCAAACGTGAAAACCAAAATAAGGCATTTATCAAGCGAGTTTTGGGGATCTAATATCCCCAACACTCATCCCCTTTTTAATAGCGTGTGCTCCTGGGGTCTACTTGCATCTTGACTGTCGTTTGCCGCTGTCTGAGAGGATACATTCGGAAACGAAGAACAGCTTGCTGCTGAGTTTCTTCTCGTGGAGGGACTGCCGGTAGGTTGAAAGTATCAAGCAAGATGTCAAGGGGAAGGCTTTCTGCTCTTGATGGGCGATCGGGAGCTAGCCGTCTGCGTATATGATTTCGATGACGTGACCATTTATCACCTCCTACATCTACTTCGTACATAACTCGACCAACTCTTCTGACTACTCTCGCTTCTGCCCAAGGATCATGGTTCGTTCTGTAGTCGCGGGCAAACACAGGGCATCCTAGTTCGTAAACGGATTGTCTTTGCAGCTTTGTCTCTACTGATGTGGGTGCATTACTCGGATGCATCATCTAGAAAATTTTAAACAGGAGTATTTTCCAATAGGTAACTTAAAACTAAAATAGAATGGAATAATAGTGCTCACTGATTTTAATATAATTAAAAACAATCTATAGATTTTGCACATAAGGATATGGTGAATTTGGTGAAACCAGTATTCATTGTGATGTATAGATCCTAAAGCATTACAAAAATTAATCTCAGTTAGAAAGCCTTCCACTTACTATGCATATATATGAATGCGACTTAGGCACCAAGTTAATTGGTTCAGTATTTAGCATTGGTCATGACACCAAATGACTATTTAAACAGAAAGAATGGAATGAGGTTGAAACTAGCAATCTAACGATAAAAAGTTGAACACTTTAATCAATAATTCAGTGTTTTACATAAAAATCAGCTTCATCTATTCCGTTTTAACACTTTAACCAATAAATTAACATTGGACAAGATAGTGCTAGTTTAACATAAATGAATTCTATTCAGAGAAAACGATTTAAACATACCATTTGCGACAAGTTTTCATTTGTTTCTATTTCACAGGCAACAACATTGTGATCAGATTTCATGCTATCGACATTCTGACTGTCATCATCATTATCATCATTCATGTCATTGACAGCAATGACATCATTACTATCAACATTATCATCCTTAGTAGTAGACACATCACCAGAAACATTAACGTGATTAGACGATGAAGGAGTAATTTCATCATTTGGAACATTTTCAAAAATAGCTATTGGAGATTTATTGCAACAGACAATATTCTCTGCCTTAGAGGAATCCAATTCTAATGATTTATCTTCCTCCAATGGTTGAGAATAATCAGAATCCGCTTGATCAGGTAAGGCAATAATTGATGGTGATAGTTTGAATTCCTCTTCAATTTTCTTGCATTCTTCATACTTTGAATGATCGGACTCTTTGACTGTTTGTTGTTGTTGTTCGACAGAATTTGTAACACCATTGTCATTATCGTCATTATTATTACTATCAATATTATTATTACTAGTATTGTTGGATTCATCTGCAATCGAAGACACATGACTGTCACATTCCATTTTTATTATGATGGAATTCTTTTCTTTACAAACATCATCAGTTTGTTGTGAATTGGACATTTCAGTGAAATCAACAGGATATGACAATTGGGGATTTAATTGATCGTTAACAGCGATCACATTATGAATAGTAGTGACAGGATGAATTACTGTTAGATTAGCATTAGACACTGTGTCAACAGTATCGCTATCATTTTCGACTGTATTAACTGATATATTTGAAGCTGAATTATTATTATTATTAATGTTGTCAGTAATATCACTATTATTATTATTACTATTGTCAGTAATAGTAGCAGTAGTACTCGTAGTAGTAGTAGTGGTTGTAGTAATTGTAGTTACCGGTGAAACACTGATAGTTGTTGATGCAATAACAACAGCGGCAGCAGCTGAAATTTGAAGATTTATCTCAGCTTCCGGAGTATTCTGAGGATCACCATTGGCTGCTGCTGCAGCTGCAGCTGATGCAGCCAATGCTTTCATAGTTGCTTGTAATTCACGTTTTTGTTCAGCTTCTAACAAAAGAATTTCATATCTTGGTCGACATGACATTGCAATTTTTATATCTTCATCAGTTAATGAAGTTAATAAACATCTATGAAAAGAAAATTTACAATGAAATGAAAAAGAATGGATTTAGATGGAAGTTTACTATTGTTATTATTATTATTATTATTACTATTTTTATTATTGATGAATGTTGTTGATCATTTTATTTCTTTTTCTCAAGTTATTCATTTTAATTAACTAGACAGTCACAGATGACACATCAAGTGGCACAAATAAATATCTACAATAGTCCTAGTAATCACACTCCACGTTTGGTCATAATATGATAGTTATTGTACAACTGATCTTGTAAGAATGTAAATTGAAAACTGACATACATCTTTCACAAATAAATAAATATGACGTAGGCGAGATATTCATGTGTTAACTAATGAGATGCGCCTACTGTGCAGTAATTAGGTTAGTTTTAATCTATGACTGATCTCTTAAAGTACAGAAGCATTGCTTTTGTATCAACGAACCAACCAAGTAAGCAATACTAACTTTACGCATTGGATATCAGGAAAAAAATGGCAAATAACCTGATGAACTAAATTTTACCTACAATGGCTTGGACGTGTATTACGTATGCTCAATCACTGACTATCATGAAATGCAATATTAGCTGGAGTAGGAATAAGTAATAAAAAAGAGCTAGTGGTGGCGAACTCAACTCAGTCCACAAAGTCATTGATTGTTGTTAGATTAAGTTGTGTTAATAAATGCCGTTTATGTCTGTTGGGGATGTTAGATACCCAAGATTCGCTTGATAAATGCCTTATTTTGGTTTTTACGTTTGCGAGCATGGGCTGATCAGTTGACCTTGAGATTTCATTTCCCACCAGGAAAATCCATGGCTGTGATTGGCTGCTGTGTATTTTAGTGTGCTATTTTCTTAACTGTATCAAGGACGTTTCCATGTTGTATAAATAAACGAGAGTTGTATCCTTGATTGTACTGTGATTGCTGGGTGTTTGTAGAATATATTTTCTACGCTTACAAAGCCTTTTTACTCCATTTGGGGATTCAAGGTAGCCTATTTGGACGCTGGTAAAATTCTCGTTCGCGTTTATCGACTGAGCTAAACTCGTAATAGCCTCAAGCATACTTAATGACGAGCGTAACAATGTCATTCGATCATTGGTTGAAAATATCGGCTGAAAAAGTAATACAAATGCATTAATTCTTTGTCCTTTATTATATCGTGAGTTTTTAAAATATTGAATAGTTTTTATTTATATATTATTCTCGAATCACATTCTTCATAGTCAATCATTGATGATAGTTTCATTTTGATATGCTCATATAAATAATCCAGTAGTTTGAATGAATAAACAAAAATGTCAACTTTTGTGTTTGTTTTTTTTAAGGACTGGACTGTAATGTCATTCATTTTATGAAACTATAATAAAAAAAATTCACTAGTGACTAATTTATGATTTTAATGAATACATATTAATGTATGAAATATGATTTAAAAGGTGAATTACTTACTTGGATTTTTTAATTTTCAAATGATTATTACCATTATTAGTGTTACTATCTAATTCAAGTTTACGTTTACGTTCACGTTCTTCATTAGCAAAATCATGAGATAATTTGGTAGAACGCTAGTGGATTAATAGGAAAGAGAGAAAAGGCAGTTAGAGTTATGTTAAATGGATTATTCGTAATCGAAGAACTATCTGTAGAAAAAAGAAAACATACCATGTAGATTGATAGAACTTTTAGTCCAAGTAAAATATTTCAATTAGATGTTACACGAAATGTAATGTAATATGATTTGCTTAAATAACTCAAAAAGAATACACAAAGTTAACTCCTAAGCTAGTCGTAATTTTATAAATGAATATTTAGAATATTTAATAATATTTAGAATATTTAATAATATGCATCAAAGACACATGAAATTAATGAATTCAATAATAAGTACAGTTATTTAATTATCATATATTGCCTTATTCTATCTAGTTAAAGTAAAAATGTAACTGATATGAGCTTCTCGTAAAAAATTTCAAAGGAAAAATTTTTCATGAAAATGAAACTGTCATAGATAAGTCTTAGTTAGGGGAGGCCAAACCAAAACATGGCAGAAATCCATGAAGTCATTGACAAGTGGACTTAGCCATGTCGGTAATTGTAGACTACCTGGTTGGGGTCCGCGAGATGATAATAATCGATGGTTAGAGACCTTGAATGACATGGCTCAAAATCGTTCGTAATGGCGCCAGTGCATTTATTCTTTGTGTTCTCTCAAATCCTAATCTTCTGGATTCTCCAACACCTCTAGTTTTGACTTTCTAAACTTTTCTCACTGAATCATACTTCTTGAATATGTTCTAATCCTAACCTCTCCGATTACTTCTAATACCTTTACTACCACTTCTACTATTGGATTTGAATTGACAATTACATCTCTGTGCTGATGTGGTATGGCGACATGAACTGATGTACTTATGTACGAAGTTCTACGTTGCATCTGACTGACTGACTGACTTAGTTAGTTTATCGCGTAAAATTGAGACTATGTGATACGGTTATAATAATACAATGTATGTGATGATAGGATGGTTTGGGTCCATGAGACGTAAGTCACCGATGGTTAGAGAACTTGAACGATATGGCTCAAAATCGTTTGCAATAGCGCAGGTGCATCCCCTATTTGTGTTCTCTCAAATTCCAACCTTCTAAATTCCTCATCTCATCTATCTTTCTGTTTCTCAATTTATCTCACTGAATTATACTTCCCGAATCATATCTTCGAACCCTAATCTTCTCCATTACTGCTAATACTTCTACTATCGCTACCACTATATGATTCGAACTGACAATTGTGTCTCTGTGCTAATGCGGTATGGTAACGTGAACTGATGTACTTACGTACGAAGTTTTGAGTTGTATCTATCTGACTGGACAGGATCAATATAATAGGATATATATAAAACATTTCTAAATGTGACTGAAAAATAAAACGAATGAATGGAGACAAATTTTTTTTAAATGTAACCTAACCTTCCAAAAACTTTATACAATATTAAAAAGAATGAATGTAAGTCATTTATCAAGTTTAAATATATTTATTCCGATTTACGTTATGCAGTGTATGCAGGTTAGAGATGCCGAAAACAAAGTGAAAAGGAAGTTTAGTGTCTGAAACGAAATGGTTTAAAATCAAATCCTCTAGATTATTAGGCCGAAATTTCGGAAGAAATTGATAAACCGTACACTAAGTAAGCGAAATACAATAATATTTGCTTCATACTCATATATATATATATATATATATATATATATATATATAGCAGTGAGTTTAAGTTCCGGAATAAGCATCAACTTTGTGATGATATTACATTAAGCTGAGTCCCGAATAGGACAACAAAACGCACGTCCTAGATCCCACCGTTAGCTACACTTCATTTATTCTGTATTAAATTTCATAAGTGGTTTGAAAATCGACTTCATAAAAACAAAATCAGATTGAAATAAATACAGGCAGAGATTATTAGAAAACATAGAATACACTAAATATTGGTAATGGTTATATCATCATAATAAACGGAGTATCAATTAAATATTAGAGATATATTCCCCTTCCCCATCCTGTAAACAATAACATTGTTAACAAAACTGATATAATATTAACGGAAGTAGATAGTGGCTAGTAAAAGAATCCAGGACGTGAGTTTCGTCCAATTTAGGACTCGTCAGCTGGGTATACCTGTATCTCAGAATGGATTTTCACTCCAAGACTCGAACTGAGTGCTGTTTACTTCAAACATCATCGCGTTATCTACTTAGTTATTGAGCCCAAATAGCCATCCATTTGTTCAATAGGGGGCGAAAATTAATTCAATTTTAAAATTGGTTGTTTGAAACTTCTCATTAATGTTTAAGACTGAACTTAATCAGTCTCTTTGGTATCATCAATGGGAAAATTACAGAGATATTTACATCAAATAACATTATTAATTAGTACACTTACTATCCATATTTCTTGTGTTAATCGAATTGGATTCTGCCATCCAACTGAAATATTATTTAAAAAATAAAATAAATTATTTACCATTGCACTACAGTTCACGGAGCATACACACACATTTTAGAATATGCTCGTAAATAGTGAAACAATCAAACAGGATTAACAAATCAATATGAAAATGTAAAATACATGAATTTTATGTTACAGAGTAACTTGAATCAAATACCAGAGAGCGTGAAGCAATGAGCGCTAAATCGATGAGCGGAAAATGAGTACGTAAATATTGTTCAAAACATTCTAAGGAGTAGTAAACAAAAATTTAACAAATGTTATTGTTATTGAATATATATATATATATATATATATATATATATTTGTTACGTATTGATTAAAGGTACAAAAGTTTCTAACATGGATACGTATTTATCATTATCCAACATTCGAAGACAGAATTCAAATTAATTGGCCATTAGTCAAAATAAAATTAGACTAGACAATGGGGCCACCCATCAGAAATGAGAGATAATGCCGAAATTCACAGAAAAGCATTTATGAAATACATAAATACTAAAGATTATAATAACATTTGGAATTGACCCCCCCCCTCGGCTTTCAATTAGATTTGTCTTATAATTCATCATAGAGAGCTATAAGACATTCACGTCTAGAGGTCTACATTATTTCAATGTAATCAATCCAATTCAATAGTTCATTCTTTTGTGGTATTACTCAAAATGAAAAAGTGAGCAATTATCGTTTTTCACTGTAATTTTTGAGTAGATTTAACACTATACATCATGAAAGCTATATTTTTCATGATAATTCTCAATCATAAGTCAGTCAGCTACAACGTAGAACTTCGTACGTACGTACATAAGTTCAGGTAGCCACGTCAAGGTAGCAGCTACGGTCGGGTGTCAATCATGAACAAACGGAGAACAATCAGTATAGGTTACAGTCCTTAATCACATCAACTATTATTCTCAAATTAGAATTTTAATAACAATTAAATAGTAGGAAGAAAAAGAGTAAGAGAGAAATACAAAGAATGAGAACAAGACTAACCCATTAAATCTTGTACACGTGGAGTACATCGTTCCAGTGAAATTGTTACATCCGATGTTTCAAAGCATAAATATTTATGAAGTATTGGTAAGGATAATGTTGCTAAATCACCAAAATAAAGATCTTGTAACCAACGTACATTGATACATGGTATATCCCATAATTGAGCCATTTCATATTTTTTACCTGATGGTCTAAAATTTATATTATAATAAATTTATTACGAGATTATTATTCAAAGTTAATGAAATGAAGTTCAGACTATTAGATCAGTAGCCGAAGCAAGAATTCGATCACACAAACAATGACATGATATGTGATATTATGAGTAATTTCAGGAAGGAGGCAGGAAACCCTGAGCATAGTCATTGTGTTAGTTTGCACTTGCCATTAAATTACACCTATGATCTTCAGTGAACTGATGCTCCATATAGTACTCAAACTCGCATCACTTAGCTTCACAGTCAAAGACGTCGCCGCTAAGTTTCTATGCAATTATTAAGGTATAGTAGAAACTGACCTCTAATAAAGGTTAAAAAAATCACTAATTATAAGACCGCTAAAGCGTAGATTGTGTATTCAATACCTTCCTCTTTTACCGTTGAACATATAAGCGATACAACAAACAAACTAGAAAGAAAATAATGTAGCATCATTTCTACCGACAGAAATCAAATGCACATTCTATTCAGAATGCTACGTAAAAATCTAGAAACGTTTGTACCATAAGGTACTGGATTCAAATTCCAATCTAAACGTTAACACTGGGATGTGAATAGGTATATTCAGTTAATGAGTCCTAACCAGAACGAAGCGCGTGTTCTGGATTCCAACGATAATCATAAACTATCCGCTTTAAGTTTGAAATGTTTTAGTGCCTAAATCCAAGATGTGGGGCTTAGTAGTTACGTGGTTTGTCTTCTAACTGCAAGATTGCAGGTTATAGTCCTGACTCATGTATTTCGCTTTAGGAAGCCGAGTAGTATCACTAGCCCTCGTAAATAGAGCGAAGCCCAGAGTATTTAGCAAGTCATAACCAATCATACTACTGAGTTATCTAAACGGGATAGAATTTAAACCAGTAACCTAAAGTTTAAACTTCAAGAATGGGAACCATAAAAAAATGGTACAAATATGAGTTGATAAAACTCCCATTACTGCGTCAACCGAACAAAATCAAGTTAATAAAGTTAACAGCAAAGATATTGAAGTAATGTAGCACTAATGACTAGTGACAGAGGCCAAATGCCGAGAGCATGGACTTGAGAAAACGAGATGAAAAGGTATGTGTATGTAGGGATAGAATGAGGAAGATAATGATGATTGAGTGCTTCTGTGCCACTGTGAGCGATTCTTAGCCATATCGCTCAACTTACACAGTCACTGAAAGTATTTATCTCGTCGACTCCGAACTGGGAGTCTTTATTTGTTAGACCGGCACAAAGAAACAGTCAATTGATTTATCGGCTACTAGACTTCTTCCAGCCTAATTCTACCTTATTTAACATTAATATCAAAGCTGATGAAGAGTCACAACCACATATTGTAGACAATAATAACAACAATAACGACGAATGAGGTAGACGGTAAGAAATGAATAACTTACTGTTTACAAACTAACAATGTATTGGATGGTTCAAGATAATCTGTAAAAGTAGCACCGATTTGACGTATAATCATTTCAATCTTTTGACGATCTTTACCTTCGAAACCAGTTAGTGATATGATCTGAAATTGTGAAAAATGAAAAATTATATGGATATTTCAACAATATCAATAGGGATATTAATAATAATAATAATAATAATAATAATAATAATAATAAAGAACCAAATAAATTGACAGGAGAATGATTGACAAAGTATCTAATATACAGTATAAGAAAAAAGCACAAGGAAACAATTGAAAATAAAAGAAGTAAAAATGAGAATATTATTTGTTCAATTGGGTACAATATAAGTGATTTACATATATAAACCTTTTAAACAGGCATAAAGTAGTAGTTTTCATTATTCTAATATCAAATGATGATTTGGTCAGAGAAAAATTTAAGGTTCGTTTAAATGAGCAGAACACAAATGAAGTTTTTTTCAGATAGTTAGTTGATGTTGTTAGTGAATAAATATGATAATACTACAAATGCAACGCTTGTACCGCTAAAGAAAAAAACAATTTTCTGTTGATCAGTTTCTTCTGCTATTTCAATATCGGTTTGTGTTATGTTCGTCACTAGGTATTACGAGTTCACCTTAGTCGATAAACGCGAACGAGACAATTATCAGCGTCCAGATAGGCTACCTTGAATCCCAAGCTGTAAAACAGAAGTCTTGGTAAGCGTAGAAAGTATATTCTACAACACCCAGAAATCACAATACAATCAAGCACACAACTCTCGTTTATTTATACATCATAGAAACGTCCTTGGGACAGTTACGAAAATAGCACACTAAAATACACAGCAGCCAATCACAGCCAAGGACTTTCCTGGTGGGAAATGAAATCTCAAGGTCAACTGATCAGCCCATGCTCGCAAACGTGAAATCCAAAATAAGGCATTTAGCAAGCGAGTTCTGGGGATCTAACATCTCCAACAGTTTGTTTACACGAGATTGACATCAATCATCTGGTATCGTGAGTAGTTATCAGTCAACTACCATACTGATTCAGTGTGTATTACTGAGTTGATTAACAATGTACGTAACAATCAAACAACAAGAAATATTCTTATCATAAGCTCTGAAAACCACTGTTCAATTTGATATGTAAAAAGTTTAGATCACTACTACCACTAATAATAATGATAAAAATTAACATTACCCGCTACTAAGTACCTACCGATATAATAATAATAAAAGGTTTACGTAACATCATAGGTATTGCAAAAGTAAAGAACTCTCGGCTTCGATTGTACCAAAACGTAAAAAATTTCATTTATTTTTTTTAAGTTGTAATTATTCGGAAAAAAACACTACATTAAAAAGTTTCACAGTGGTAAATATCTTTCATTCATCCTTAAGTGTGAAAGCTTTCGATCACCTTAGCTCGTACAACTATTTTTTTATACATTATATACGAGATTCATGCACTTCACAACCTACTCGTCTTTTATCAGCCTCACAGGATAAACACTGGACCAATTCCTTAGCTTTTTATCATAGTACGTCACAGTAAGTACATATATACTTCGCATTCAGAATTATTCACTTCAAGCAAATGTAAGACAATAAGATTCATTATCATATTTGTATAATTAAAAAATACATAGATAGGTTTAGAAACAGTTGACCAGGCCACTTAATTATTAAGTTAGTTATGAAAATATGCCTAGACATTTAAATCAACGAACAATCAAGAAAAGATGCATTGATTATCAGTATTAGTTTATAGATTGTATAATATACAATTAATTGTTAGAATAGACACACACGAAGTAAATACGATCTATTTTTTCTTCTTTTTAGAATAAATAAATCTACCACCTTCCCTTCCCAACATTACACAAACAAACAAAAAACGTCACACTTACCTGTGTACGAATAAATGAAAAAGTGATATCTTTGGAAAATGGTGATGGTAAGTGTAAAATTTCAAATGGTGCAATCATTCTACCTTTGGCAAGTATATCATTCACCCAATAAATTGTAACTAAACGTTTTTGATCTAATAAAGCCTGAAAATTGAAAGAGAGAGAGAGAAAACACAACACAAACGATAGTGATGGAAATAAGTTTGCGAAGAGTATGAGCTTCATTGAAAAAACCCAGTTATAAAATCAATACTACTAGTCATTCAAAATGGATACAAAAATAGTAATAATAATAATAAATTTCATTTAACTCAATGGCAATTCAGTAACAAATAAGCCAAAATGATATAGTAGTAGCAACTGTAAAGCAAAAGAATAAATACTGTGAATATAGTTTGGGAAGAAGGAATGCAAAGGCATGTGTATGTAAGAGTGCAAAAACCTGAGATCTAGTGCGTCGGATAAGAATGGAATGTACCTCTGTCACTCTGATCGATTTGCAATTATGTCACACAACGTCTCCAACCAACAGGTAATTTCCACTTACTAACATTGCTTATTCCAGTAAGTAAGTGACTTCACAGACTGATATTACTTTTAGATTTTGTTGCCTGCAGCTTTCTTCCAGCTTACTCTTTATCTCAAACTACATTCATTGTATGCCGAGGTAGACAGTGTTTAAACATATGTGTTATATGTTCCAAGAAGTTAAGTGGATAAAAATTTGCAGTTTTATCAACCGATTCGGCATATTTACTTTGTAGCACAGTTTGATATGTAAGTTAATCATATGAATTAAATAGTTAACATTTACAATTAAAAGTTAATCATACTTGTTTAATGACATCAGGTTCTTCTAGTTGACAATCAATAACCACATGTGTAACCTTAATAGGATCATAAGCCATTACTACTTCTGCACCATGTGAACGCATTACACGTCGCCAAACAACTTTTTGTGATTCAGGTACATTTCGATAACCCAAAATTAATAGAACACAACCAATTAAACATTCTTCTGGTTTAGATGGTAAAGGATTACCATCATGACCATAATAAGTTGGAGTTAATGATATTACAGGTGTTAAAGCTGTAGGTGTTGTATGTGAAACATTTGATGGTGTTGAATTACAAGAAATTTGTCGATTTACAGATTGCACAATTGTAGTAACAGGTATCTGAGATGTATGTCTTGGTGGTGGTTGACCGTTGCCAACATTAACAGTAGATGAAGGATGATTGTGTGATTGTATTTGTGCAACTTGAGAATGATGTGTAGGACGTGGACTTAACGAATGATCAACATTATTAGTATGAACTAAATTTTGTCCTACTACATGATGATATGGTGAATGAACTGTGCCAGTTTGATGAGGATGAGAATGAGGATGATGATGATGATTTTGGGCAGTGATCACACTGACAGACGACGAATCACCCATAATCATTTGAGCATTTGCTCGACCAACAGACTGATTATGATGTACTACTTGATGATTAGTTTTTAACTGTTGACCTGAAATAATCCCACCTAGGATTAAACAAGTAAAAAGACACATGAATATTGATTGAGTGGAAGGATAAAAATTACCAGTTACACAGAAAAAACATTTCAAAAAAAAGTAGATTAGGTCGTGAATAATACCTGGTTATGAAATAGATAGTGAAACTACTTCATATTACTAAGATGACCATTGGATGATAAATATCAGATATGAAACGTTTTAAGACAATCTTTGATTGTTGTGTAAAGATGTTGTTGTAAATGTTGTAAGATTTTGTAATTTTGTGTTCAGGAGCAGCCTCTAGTGTAGTCAAACGAAGATGTAGTCGAAACTGTTAACTGTTTCATTTTTGCCTATTTGGTGCAAACCGGTTCATACAACCAGTATGGATCATTGGCAACAATATATAGCGTTATGTCTAAATCTAACAAACTAAGAATCTTTCAGACAACTAGGGCTTTGTGTTCAAAAGAAATATATTCAACCATTTTGATTACTTCAGCCAACTTTCTAGCCAAGTAAGGAAGCAATCATTTGATTGAAATGACGATATAATTTGACTTATATACAGACATCATTCCTCTTTGTATTTTTGAAGTTTGAAACTTGGTTATTCTGCTTGAAACATTAATTTGAAGGCATAACTGTAGAACCTGATGAGAATTTTCCAAAAACTAAAATATATCATGTTTACATACGTATCTCTTTTTTTAAATTTATTTTCCGTTATCTATTAGTGCCAACATTAATATTATTATTATTATTATTACTATGATTTCCACTCTTGTTATTGATGCGGAATCGATATGTTAAAAGAATGGACAGATAGTTTAATGGCTAATATTGTTCGATTCTTAGCAACTAAGTCTGAGGTTCAAATCCAGCTCCATCTACATAGGTACAAACAACTAGCTTAAATAAACAGACAAGCAGAACTTCAAGTACTGAACAGAATGCACTCTAATGTCGTCGTTCATTGAAATTTTGGACAGTACATCTCGAGATATTTCGAGATGTCTTTTGTCTGGCGATGTTGATCGCTGCATTGACATAACAATCCAGGATTCATCAATTTTGAATACTAGAGCAACTCATACATTTTTTTATGAAATATAAAAAAGTAAATGAAAGAATACTATTTACTCGGTAAAAAGACTAGTTATTACTTGGAAAGATAAAATAATCAGATACAATAACACATCTGCACAGTGAAATATGCATTAAAAATACTGTCATAAAAGATATACATGTCTAATATGTACATAATTCATCAGTTCATGCCTTACAAACTATGAAAGTTTTATGATCGCGATAAAACCGTATAATGATAATAATCATATGTTCACTAATCAGTAGCTTCAAAATGTAACTCCGGGATTTATAGTGAGAAACTGTAACCAGTGAGTGGGTTCAGCCATGTTAGGTATGAGACAGTTATCTATCACATGCGACTGATCAAGGTTACGCGAAATCGTGGTTGGACTAAAGATAAGTATTAACACCGTTGGATGTTGCTTCAGTGATCTTGAGATTAGGTATTCGCGCACAAGAACGAGGTCCTAGGTACGGTTCCCAGTGATAGAATCCCGAAAGAGTACTTCTGGAGAGTTCTATTGCAGGATGAACTAGCTGCTTAGTGCTATCTGGTTTTAAATTATAATCTAGCTACGAACAGTTGTTCATTCAAAAACATCCTGTCACTTCCATAAATTTTACAGTATTAAATAAACCAAACGATACAAAACATACCTGAAAGAATTTGTTGAGGGGGCGCGTGAACGGGTTGTTGTTGTTGTTGTTGTTGTTGATGGTGGTGGTGTTGATGTTGAAGTGTTCCCTGTTGTTGTGTAGGATGCACAGCGACATTATTATTACCAGTATTCGCCTGAGCTGTTGGACTAGTTTGAAACAGAACTTTATTAGTCGGAGCTCGATTAGTCATTTGTGATACAGTGCGTTGATTAGTTGTCAATGTAACTAAAGAAGACTGATTTTGATGAAAACCATTCCCAAGCGTGTTAGTATTGCTAGAACATGGTAAAACAGAACGAAGAAGCATTCCTCCACTTGGAGTTGAATTGGTGAAACTTCTTCCAAACTATAAAAGAAAAATTAAAAATAGAAATAATTACCGATTTATAATGAACTCACTTATCAAGCATATGTTTATGTAGTCAGTCAGCTTTGAATGACATTCATCTTAATTTAAGGACTTAGCGATATCACCTGGCTACCTACTGTATTCACTACTAACACACTTCACCACTACTTAGGCTGCACAAAACATTTTATATGGAAGTATTAATTATAACGCCTATCTAAATGCACTGTAGTGATAGGCTTACAGTGGTTGCAATCTGTAACTTACAGGTATGATGTCAAACATTGAGTGGGAAGTTAGAAAGAACTAAGATTTACATTTTAATATAACCTTAATGAATAAATCCATCAATTACGAGCTATATATGTTGTGGATGGTGGATCCCCAGAACTCACTTGATAAAGGTCCTAAATTTGGATGATATGCTTTTGAGTATGGGCTGATCAGTTGACTTTGGGGTTACATTTTCCACCCAGAAAATCCTTGACTGTCATTGATTGGTGTAGTATTTTAGTAGGCTATTTTCGTGGCTTTCCCAAAGAGGTTTCTGCCATGTATAAATAAACTCGATTTGTGTGCTTATCAACCTCGATTTTCTGTGTGCTCCTAGAATACACTTTCTACGCCATATCAAAACTTTTTCCTCTACTTACTGGGGGCCTTGGGACGCTTGGATTAAAGTAGCCTATCGTGCCAATGAATCATTTGTCTTTGTTCTCGTTTACCGACTAAGGTGAACTCGTAATAGTTTCAAGCATATCAATATAATTTTCGAATTATAGTCTATGACATGATTAATTATTTGAATTTTATGAAAAAATTTATTTTTCATTTCTCAAATTAGTTAGCCAATCAGGTATACAAAAAATATATATTCTTGTTGTAATTTTTTTTCGAAGTAGAAGAAATAATGAATAATAATAATAATACAACTTACTGTATTTGGCATTGATTGATGTGGTGCCGCAATAATTTGCTGTCCAGTAGGTGATTGAAATATAATCTGTTGTGGATGTTGTTGTTGTTGCTGCTGCTGCTGTTGCGGCGTATAACAACTATGAATGGTCTGATACTGTGATGGAACACTACCGCCGCCAACACCAACAGGAGCAGCAGCAGGGGAAAGTTGAACTTTCTGCTGTTGTTGTTGTTGTTGCTGATAGTGTGTAGGATGTGGCGTCAACACAGCAGAATATTGTTGTTGTTGTTGTTGTTGCTGCTGCTGCTGTTGTACATACTGCCGATTCAATTGATTATTGATAGGATGACGTGTAGTAGGTGATTGAGAAGAATGTGTTTGAATTTGTTGTTGTAATTGTGTGATTTTACCACTAGCACCACCAACATTTGCGACAGCTGAATGCTGTTGAGGCAAAAGGTTCAATGTAGATGGTGATTTGACTTGATTACCATTAGTAGTGACATTACCACTAGTTCCCAGTGTATTATTAGTACTAACACTGTTAGGTGGTGGTGATTGTAATGCAAAATGAAGTTGTACTGCTTGTTGTTGATGGTGTGGTTGTTGTGATGATGATGAAGAAGTTGCCAAACTACAATTTGGTTGAATAACTTGCTGTTGTAGATGATTATGATGAAGTGTACGATTATCAGTAATTATAGTAGCTGTTGACTGTGCATTATTATTCACAGTACTAGGTGTTACAGTAGCTAGATGATGTTGTTGTTGCTGCTGTTGTTGTTGTTGTTGTGGTTGTTGTTGATTATGGTGGTGCTGGTGATGCTGGTGATGATGATGATTGTGATGTTGGTTGCCATCCGATAATAAAGCTTGTTGTACCGATGAAGTATACGGTGTTGACTTGATTTGTATAAGTTGACCAGCAGCAGCATTACCAATACCTACACTACTTCCATTAGTAGATTGAAGTAATAATTGTTGAGTGATTGATGGTGATGATGATGACGATGACTGTGAGTTAACATTTGGTTTATTATGAGGTGTTTGTTCAATAGTTGTTGAATTATGTCCTCCAGTTTGATTATTTGACTGAAATAAATGATTTGATGATTGAATAGTATTGCTTGGTGATACTTGATGATGACTAGAAGATAGTGGATGTTGTGGATTAACATTATTACTGGTGAGTAAAATATCTCCACAACCATCTGAACTAATAATAGTCATATCCGATTGTGATTCCATGCTATCATTCTATCAACAAATGACATTTTCAACAATTAATAAAAAAAGGTGATAAAATAAAAATATCTCGTGTCAATTTTAAAATCATTTATATAACATAAGTTGAATTCATCAGTCATTTTTTTGGCATATGTGTATCCCCTGTGTGGATTATCACGATATTGCCATTAAGTTACAGACATAAATTTGGTTGAACTAGACATTATTGATGATAACTGAGAATACTCTATTACACATTTTTGAAACCGTGAATTGATCAATGTTAGACCACCATTAGAAACCTGGAAGCACTAGACGGCCGTTTCGTCCTGGTATGGGACCCCTCAGCAGTGCGCATCCACGACCCCTGCACCTCACAGGATTCGAACCCAGGACCTTCGGTATTGTGCGCGAACGCCTAACCATCGGACCACTGGGCCTTATTGAAGAGATTACATCGAAAACGTAGACTAAAAACTGACAAATAGTCACTGATGATCACTTGACACAGCATTATGTAGTGAAAACGTCATATTCCAAAGCCGAAAAAAACTCTGTTAGACATTTCTAATCCGGTGACCAAATAATACAGGTGTCTGTATTTGAGCTCTAAATGCTACAATTTTCATTCATGAAAATGGTTATTCAAATATGCTACCTAATAACTGGAGGATGATTGCTTTTAACTGATTTACAAGACAACTAGCAACAAACCACAGTGTGAGAGCTAGTGCTATTATCCGATCACCCAAACCGAAGTACATGGAGCGGGATTTGATTCTGGGGATTAAGTGTTTGAGAATCGAACGTGTTAACGAATAAACCGCCGCTTTAAAGTGATGCCGAATGGACACACGTCAATATATATATATATATATATATATATATATATATATATATATCAGTGATTGATTCTTAGAAACCTACTTGCTGATATGGTTGACGAGTAGTACGAACCAATAAAGTTGGCTGTTGAACCGGTGTAGTATGTTGAAAATGTTGAACATTTACCTGATGTTGTGGTTGTTGTTGTTGTTGCTGCTGTTGACTTAAAGCTGAGTTATTAACAGCAGTCAATATACTACCAGTACGCTGATAAGGATCTATAGTAGGCAAAAATAATATATGCATACATTTTAAAAAGGAGAATTACAACATTAGTATTACATAAGGATGTTGCAGATAGATTTATACATCTAACAACTAGTGAATATAAAAGTCTAGTTCATGTCTTTAAATAAGTTCGTATTTGAGCACAGACGAAAGATTTCATCAATAAAAGCAATAATAATACAGTTTAAATTTGTAAATGTAAATAGCTCAGTTTTTTAAGGTTATCATTCACAAATCGAGTAGCTTATAGCAGTAACATCTGATACCCTAAAATTGAAAGATGTAAATATAAGTCTAACTGAAAATATCAGTTCCCTCAAGGTTACAGATGAGCCATGCTAAAGAGTCCTAACTGGAACGAAATCTAGGTACAGGATTTCCTTTCAGCTATCTCAAACCACCTATTAATATATACAAAATAATCAAAGGTAAAATACTTTTATCTCAATGAAATAAAATCATCATCTCAATGTCATTCATGGTCAGAAACCCTGAATGGCATGGCTCAAAATCGTTTGCAATGGCGCAGGTGCATCCATTTTTTGACTTCTCTCAAATTCTAACTTTCCGAATTCTCATCACCTTTATCTTTTTCTTTTTAAGTTTATTTCACTAGATTCTACTCTTGAATAATATCGTCGAACCCGATTACTGCTAATACTTCTACTAATTCTACTACTATGGGATTTGAAGTGATAATTGTGTCTCAGTGCTAATGTGGTATGGCAGCTTGAACTGATGTACATACGTACGAAGTTCAATGTTGTTGTTGACTGACTGACCACCATAGTTAACCGAAAATATTTATGTACTAAAGAAGGCATAAAAATAAAATCAATCTGGGAAAATCTCTACCTACTTTGAACAGGAAATGACTGTGTATGCAATTGTCCATGTGTCGATTGTTGTGATACACTAGCTACAAGTTGACCACATGGATGTCTTTGTACAATATAAGCTGATGTTCCACCTTGTACTGACTGTGATTGATGTGATGCAAGTGTAGCTGTAGTTAAATAATGCTGCATACTTGTAGATCGTTGAAGTTGAGTTGGTGTTCCTTGAAGTGAATTATTATTATTACTAACTGGTCTATATTGCATTTGTTGTAAACTACCAGTGAGTAGAACTGAAGGGAGTGCAGAACCAGTGCAACCAGCCATCACAATAGACGGTTGTTGTTGATGTTGTTGCTGCTGCTGTTGTTGTGGTTGCTGTTGTTGTTGTTGTTGTTGTTGAAAATGCTGTTGATGAGGTGATGTTAACGTTTTAGTAATCCCAGTAACTTTAGCATTTTTTGGAGATTTCGGTGAAACCTTATGACCAAGATTACTTCCAACAGCACGACAAGGTGATTTAGGTGATTTCGGTTTTCGATGACTACCAGAAAGTTGTGAAGTTAAATTGGATGAACTACCATACCCAGAGTTGATAAGATTGCTTAAATTAGATGAACTTCCCCCTTGAGATCCAGAAAATGAATTTGCCCCATTTTGATTGTGTCCTGCATTACTATTAGATGAATGAGTTTCAGAGGCTGATGAAGAACCTCGACCATGAGATGATTCCTGTGAAGTTGAATAAAATAAGATAACTTCATACAAAACAATATGCATTATATCTATCCAAGAAACAGAAAACATCATTTGAATAATTAGTCATGAAGACGGATTTAAAATACTAAAAATACTTTTCCAATGAGAGTGACAACATGACAAAAACCTTGGCAAAACGGAAGCGCGCTAATTTTAAGTTGTTCTGTTTTGTGAAAGAAAGAAACGAAAGCACCTAACATTCATTCTAGGTACATAAAGTTTACCCATCTACTATTCCCATATAAAATAAATCCTCATATACAAATTTCTCAAACAATGTTAATTTACTTTTATCAATGCTACTACTACTACTGGTAATAGTAGTAACAGTAATGAGTGGCCAAAACAGAAATGTAATTATATTCGATCAAGTAGTTATGTCCTTGTATATCTAGGCCTTATGGAACACACATCAATGAAATAATATTGAAGTTATTTGTATTTTCTATTCATTTTAGAAGAATATAATACAGATAAAAACAGCAGGCTGATAACACTTACTCGATTCCATGTATGCTGTAAACTAAGGATATTTTTCACATTTTGCATAACAATAGCATCTTTTTCTTCTTCATTCAAATTTTGTTCTTGCATATGTTTACTAGATTTTGATTTACTTGTCTTTCCATGATGTCCAGTCGTAGTAGTAGTAGTTGTAGTACTAGTAGCAGTACTAGTAGTAGCAGTAATAGTAGTATTATTACTATTACCAACACTTCCGCTATTGCCAACTCCTCCACTACTTCCAGTCATACTATTTATAGCATTATTACCAGTAGTTGGTGTTAATGATGTTGTCAATGTGATAGTATTACTACCAATTACTGAATGTCCACTGAATGTTGTTGTAGAAGTTGTAGCCGGTAATAAACTATTAGTCAAAATTATATTAGAATGATTTGTTGATACATTGGAAGCGGAATAATTAAGTCCTAGTGAAATAGGATTTCCATGAGCATCTATAATTCAAAAAGATATATACATAGATGAATAGTTGTAGACAACAAGTGTAAATCGATAATAGGTTATTAAAATAGAATCAAAATATAATTTTCTTTTAGTCATATTTGATTAGTAGGGAAAAGCATTTTAACAGATTATTTAATTCATACTTTTACTATCTAATCTATGAAAGAATTAATCGTTTCATGCATTATGTTTAATGTAGACATACACATTGAGCATTATCGACATTTTAAATAATAAAATAACAATATAGATAATCGATTATTATCATTATTACATGAAGCAACATTATAACTCTAACCTTAATTCATGAAGCTGTACTTATAACGTTTTGACAACAATCTACTGTTGCAGAAAACAAACCAATTTCCAGCTGAGGAAGAAATTAGGAATCAAACGGTGGAGGTAGGTAAGACACATTGCGGAAATCACCTAACTGCATCACAAGGAAAGACCCAACTTGGAATCCTCAAGGTCAAATGAAACAAGGCAGACCAAAAAACACATTGCACCGGGGATTAGAGGCAAGCACCAAAGGAATGGATAGCATTTAGGAACAACTGGAAAGGAGAGCCCGGGAAAGAGTTGATTAGAGAATCCTTATCGACAGCCTATGCTCCACGAGGAGAAAGAGGAATGAGTAAGCAAGTTATTACTCAGTTAATTAGTCATGACCAACACAGCGATTAACACGGATATCCACTGACTAAGGTTACCACACCACATCAACATAAGACTAATAACATCATTCGAGAAGGAATTGAAGTTATGTAGAGCCAATGACAATGAGAAGAGTTAAGCATTTAGAAAATAGTTTGAAAAAAAAGAATGTGTACAATAAAACTGGAACGAAAGATCCACAAAGAGACATAAACTGAATGTATCTGTGCCAATGACAAATTCTCAGCCATGCTAATTGACATCTCCAACCCATGAACATAGTTATTGTAAGAGTTTCCAACAGGTAGTTTGTATCTACCAACATAGCTCATACTCAAAGTAAATGATTTTATGAGTTGACGTCATTTCTTGTTTTGGCTGCCCCTAGATTCATTCCAACTTTTAATGCAGCCAAAAATTGTATGCTGAAGCGAGTAGTGGTAGGGAATAAACACCACGTATGTCGCAACCACCGCAGTTAGTGAAAATTTACAACCTCATCAATTAATTTGAAGAGACACATAAGAAGAACATGCTTAAAACACCCTGTTGGTAGATATCATTACTTTACCAATATTATATTTAAAAATAATCAAGCACTAAACCGATATAATATCAAACAAGCATTTTATGGTCGGAGTAGTTCATGCAAATCAGTTTCCAAGTACAAATTCACTTATTTTTAATTTTGTAAGTAAAAATTAGCTATAAAAATTATGCTGACCAAACTGAAGTAGATGGAGTGAAATTTTCACCTGTAACTCAGTGATTAAAAGATGAATGTCTTAACTATGCTACTTGTATGATAGTTTTTGATAAGTGACTAGTAGTTATAGTTAATAAAAAATTTCAGTTACTAAGTTCATTGTATAAGTCTGAAAAAAATACAGTATAAAACAGTTCAAACTAAAGTAGATTCAAATAAATAAAAACCTGATCACTGATTAAAATGATGCGTAATCTAATTACAATTTATTGAAAATACTACGCTAAATAATTTAACGATAACCTCTATATATACCACAAAACCAGAAGATTAATTTTCATTGAAAACTATCTTGAGGCCAATCAAACATGAACCAAGTCTATCACAACGAATCAATTAACTTCAATAAAAATAAAAATACTTGTATGTAGTAAAGTACATGGGTTACGCTATCATCTATTGGATGAGTAAAACTGAATTAACTGACACAATCAATACAAGTCCTAAGAACTGTGCAATATAAACGTACGACTAGTTCCTTTACTTACCAGATCCTCCAGGTTGTTGCATTAGTCCTTGTTGAACTGCAGGATCAGTGTAAATTGGTAAAGTGGAGGATGGGTAACGCTGAAATGAAATATTTACGTACAAATTTTAAATTTTTCCAAAAAAAATTTGAAAACTAAACTAGGCAAAATTTCATAAATAAACATTTTTGTTATAATTTGAAAAAAAACACCGTCGCAAATTATTCATATTAAACAGAGAAAAGACTATGAAATAATACGAAAACTTTGGAAGGAAATGAATACAACAGAGTACATTGAGAGAAAGTTTAAGTATATTACTTATAATCTTTAAGTAGGTATAATGTTGAACCCAATACATACGTGCATTTGTTCTAGTTGACTCATTATTTCAGCAAAACAAGATTAAGTTATTAAAATAATTGATAGAGTAAAAGTAGTAGTAGTAGTAGTAGTAGTATCGGTGGCAACAGATAAAATTGGGCATTTGGAGTTTTGTTCTCTGACCTATATAATTTGAGAGTGAAGATTTCATTGTTCTTATGAACAATATCATCAAGACAGACTTCAAATACTTTGAACTTAAATGAAATGTTGAAATTTCACCAAAATTGTTTATCTGAGCTACAAATCCTCTCTATTATCTCAGCACTGGGCGTTTGCAAAATAATTTTAGAAGAAAAAACGAATTCTTCCTGAATTGTGATAAACAAATCTATGGGTGGTTTTAACAAGTTTGATGTTAGTGAGTCAACCTTAAGGATGACAGGAAATCCCAAATTATAAAATAAATTTCGAAAAACGGAACTTTAACATGATACATACAAAAACTATGCATCTAACTAACTTGTGGAACACCACCCTGTGGACGATTCATTGGGAATCGTTGAGGACCAGCACCACCACCTCCACTAACAGGCCCCACATTTGGAGCAACTGGATAACGATTTGGTGCAGATGGTGACAGCGGAAAACGTTGTTGTTGTTGTTGTTGCTGACTACCACTTCGAAACTGATCTTGAGAAGCCTTTTTAGACGAACCACGACCTGAACCGCTGCCGCCACCACCACGTGGATTTCCACCACGACTAGGTTTATTCTGAGGTACAGGTGATGAGCTACCAACATATGCTGACTTTTGGTCAATATTTCGCATATTCTACAAAAAAAGGACCCATTTCATAGAAATAATTAGAAAAGTATTGATGAAATATTTCGATGTTTATACATCATTCACACATAACCAAGCCCTATCCTCTGTAGTACAATAGAGTATACTTGAATTTAGGGTGTATCATTCATGTATAAAAAACAGTTAATTTCATAATTATAAATAATTCAACGAAAAAATCTGTACTAATTTCGTACATATGTCATAGAACGAAACACGAATAAATAAATTGTAAACTCATATTTATTCAATGTTTCCTCTGTTTAAACCACAGCTCTACTTTGTCTATTTGAATCCAACTAACATACTCTCGCAACAAGTATCAACAAAATCAACAAAACAGTACATCAAAAGTAGGGAAAATCATCTGTTATAAATAGGAATAATATCAAGATGAAGAGACTAACACCTTTAGCCTTATTTTATATGTTACAACTGAAATACCAATTAGAATAAACTAAGCGGCAAGAATGTATTCATTATACAGATGCAAAAGAAGATTGGTATGTTTTAAATTCATATAAAAGATGTAATAACAACCAACTCTAGTAATTCTCTTCATAATAATATAATTGGTTAGAAAAGAAAAATTTCCAGTTGTCAAACGAAATCGGAAATATTAAATAAATCGTTAGTCAAATTCTAACATCATACTGAAAATGAAGATAATAGTTGAAAAGTTATAACTTGAAAAATAATTTATCAAACAGAAAGAAGTTAACATGAAGAAAGCAGATTTATAAGTTTAATAACACAAAAATAAATAGTTTTAAAAAAGATTAAGTGTTAACTTTACACGAAATTGTGAAAGTATTCAGTAAATATTAGTTATGCCGTTTATTTTATGTTGAATAAACACAACTCTATAGTAAAGAATAGTATTAGTTACTTTTGTATGATACTTTTTGAAGAAACCAGTGATACAGTATATGAAAGGGAACTTGAAATTGTTCAAGGTTGAAAATCATATGGTTTAACCATTGGTCAGTTCATTACAACTTCTGAGTAAAAGTCATAGAAATGGTTGGGGCTTGGCAGGCTGAATCATTATTAAAAATGAGATAAAATAGTAGTAAGTGGTGACCTGGTGAGATTTGTTCGATCGTTTTGCTGCTTGCTACGGTAGGATCTAAAGGATTATTTGTTTCAGGCGATATAGCTCAGCTGAGTCATCACGGTAGGCGAGCCCAACCACCTTATCGAGGTAGCAGCATAAGATCTCATATGACCAACGCCTCAAAAGACACTGCAATCGAATGACATTGTTTTTTACACCTCTTAACTTTAACGACCATATTTCGTAACCTCATAAAACCATACAGAGAATAATTGTGCTATATTTCTTCCTTCTATAGACAATGGAGCAACCTGGTAGTAATATAGATCATATAATTCGATAAGTGTTAAAGCAGCCTTGTTAGTGCATGATAAGATTCGTTAGGAGACAACTGCTCATGAGTTTATGAACCCTTACAAATAAACAAAGTAGTCTAGAGGTTGTCTATTCTTAAGCTGAATATCCATGTAGACAGACGATGTGCCATCACATCATCTTTGAAAGATGAGAGCTCGACGTCAGAATCTATCTAATTCCTTCAAAACTGTTGGGGACGTTAGATCCCCAGAGTTCAATTGAAAAAGGTTCTAATCTTTGATTTTTTGTGTCCGCGCATAAGCTACCCTGTTGACATTGAGATTACATTTCCCACTCGAAAAACCCTTGACTGTCATTGGTTGATGTATTATTTTAGTACGCTATTTTTGTGACTCTCACAAGGACATTTCTGTCATGCATAAATAAGCTCGCTTTATGTGCTTGTAGATGTCGTATTTTCTGGGTGCTTGTAGAATACACTTTCTACACCATATCAAAACTTCTTGAAATAGTTAGCCGGGCTGCGAAAAATGAATAGTATATCGTGTCACTGCATCATTTGTCTTCGCTCAGTTTACCGAGTAAGGTGAACTTGTAATAGTTTCAAGCATATCAGAAACACACCTTCCCAACTCACACTTATACCGTCTATAGAAACTATATAACAGTTGGAAATAAACATATCGGTTTAGATTTTAATCCATATTACTTCAATACTCAACAATCTAGCTTCTCATAATCAATGAATAACCACTGTAAACTACCAAAATTCTCTTCATTCTTTGAAATCTATGCCTCAAATGGATAAATTATTAGCATAAAACCGTCTACTCACACACCAAAATCTTATACAAAGATAACTGTGAAAGAAATATATAACTTACAATTTGTTGAACACTTATACCAGTTGCTGCTTGTACATTTGTTCCACCTGATAATGCTGTCGATAATTGATGTGTAGACTGTAATGTATGATGCATAAGTTGATTAGTTTGTACTAAGTATTGTTTACTTGTATGAATTTGTGAATGCTGTTGCTGCTGCTGCTGCTGCTGTAGCGATGATGGATTTAGTTGTGAGTTATTTGTACAATTTATTATATTACTATTATTTGTAGTGACAGAGATATTTGCATTAGAAGTGAGAACAGTAGTACCAATTACTTCAACAATATTATTATTATTATTATTATTATTATCATGTGTTATTGAATCATTAGCCAATGTAGAACTGATAATTAAATTAGTTTCTTGTTTTATGGATTCATCTATAGAATTATTATTATTATTATTATTATTATTATTATTATTATTATTATTATTATTATTATGTAAATTCAGCTCTTTGGACTCATTCAATTGTTGGGACTGTGATTGTTGCGGCTTCTTTAAACAGGTTTGTTTAGACGGAGATGGTAATGGTGTTGTACGAATTAACAAATCAGGATGATATGATGTACATGGTAATAATGTTTCTTGTGTTAAACAATCAATAATCCAATCAGGTGTAACTATAAATGGTTTAGAATTATTTTCATCTAAAGCAGCATTGTTGTTTGCCAATTTATTAGTACAATATTCATAGAAATTCTAGAAAAATAACAAACGATATGAAGATTACTAACGGCTAAAAAAACACTACATAAACAGTTGAAATAAACTAAGATTGTAAAAACAATTACTAAGAATGTAGAGTTAAGTGTTCAATATCTAAAACCATACTTCAGAATGACCAAACAATACAGTCGCCAAGCAGTGTATATAATCTACCTGAAGTAAATTAGTGGCTAGAAATTTATATTTCACGTGGTTCACATTCAGATGTTTCATGTTTGTGAACCGACGTATCAACGCAGCGTTTATGAGACATCAACCCAACATACAAACTCTGGATGATTACAAACACAGACAGATATGATGTCTAATATAAAAGAGCAGTCGACACTTAGAAACGTTTTCATTCGAGGATTTTAAACAAAACTAGAACACTGAAGTCAAACATTTAGCCATACCAACAAAATAGATTTTTAAAAAATTCATGCATATACGTGATATACTTACTCCCGCAGCCTTGGCGACAACCACATGAGTAACAGACTTATCCAAGTAATGACACATTTGGCCTCCATGTATAGTGACATATGCCCATATTGAAAGTTGATCGGCTACACTCAACTATAATTATTAAAAGAACCAATGGTATCAATATAAAACATTTTACATACCCCACTGCATGCAATTACTGTCCCTGTGAATATATGTTTAAAGTCCGGATGAAAAGGACGAAATCTGTGAGATTTTTCAAATAAGAAAAATTATTGAAACTTACGGCAAAAACTTTTGTGCTTCAGCAGAGAGTTTAACCCAACGACTCTAAATCAAATTAGGAAAAGGAGAAAAAATGTATTACCGTAACAACTGGAACAGCATACAATTCCTCCGCTTCTCCAACTTCCGCAAGAGATGGATCATCGCTGATAGCAAAACGTACACTTTCTGATAGGAATGGATGGCTCACAGCACCCAAAGACTTAAGAAGATTGACTACCTATATTTTGAGTGAAAAGAAGACATACACAAAGAAATTAATGGGTAAATTTGAAAATAGGATAAGTTACTTAATATATTTTGAGTAGTCGGATCTGTAGTAAACCTCTCTAGATTGATAGTTTCTAAACATAGTTAGAATCAACTTAAGTACAACGATTGCTTATGGTACTCATAGCTCATATCCGATAACTGAAACGTCTATTTCCTTACAAGGTGGTAAATTCGTTAGATCTTGGTGATTTATCGCGGAATATATAAATCCAAGTCAGAAACACAAATTCCTCAGGCTCAACACTCAAAATGCCGAGATGTCAAAATATATACGGTGTTTTGAGTAGGTATTAAGACAGTGTATGACATAGTCAATGCATTCAATCAAATGACTGCTTACAGTATTACTCTTAGTGTTGACCAGCTCTGAACGCTTTACAAACAATAGATTACAAAAACATTTCAATGGTTTTTCAGATTCTTTTTAGCATCCAAGGGAACTTATATGTCATCATCAAAATTAAGGATGACTATTAAATTTTAATGAATGGTAATTCTTGAACGTGACAATTTTCACAACATCCTTCGGAAGGATAGTCATAACCAACGTAGAACCTGGAACAAACATCAGTAATACAGGGAAAGTTGAAACACATGAAAGACATAATTCTTTATATTGACGTCTTCAGTGTGTTCATATACTACTTGGTATGTCTTTCAACAACAGATATCGTCACGAGACTTGGTTGGTAAAATTGAATCTCACCCTTATATCAAAGTATATAGTTAGAGCTGAAAAATTTTAAATACAACTATATTCTAGAATCTGACGAGGAGTATCTTTATTTATTCATTTAAAACAAATATATATACATGATCCACACAAAATGAGGTCGTGAAAAAATAGAGGAAGAACAGTGAGATTAACCAAAATGAATAGGAACTCATGTACGAGAGTAAAGTAATAGCATACAGTAGTGTGAGAAAGAGTTCACTTAACAGAAACACAAGCAGAATGAATCCTTTCAGTTAAAAATGTTACACATCACCATTACCTACATCGATCAGAGCTGTGTCCTGAACGTCATCGATCATGAACTTGAAGAGGAATAGTGAGGTTTAGCAGCCCTACCTAGCCCCCCAAACTGCTTGAATGAAGCGATAGAAGGAGGTATTTGTATGCCTCCACTCTACCTGAGGTGTTGATGAGGCCTTCAGGATACTAATAAACTTCTTGGACATACCCTTCTTCAATAGACGATCTTAGAGGACAGTTCTGTCCAACCATTCGAAGGTGGCCCTGATATCAAGAAACACAACGGTTGGTGGCGTGCGATTAGTGTGGCGTTGTTGTAACACCTAGTGGAAGGCGAAGATAATGATCAATACATCCTCGACCAAAACGAAAACCAGCCTGCTCTTCGCAAGTCAAACTTTCTTGGGTTTTGAACAGTCTACGAAATATGTTGGGTGTCAATAATTTGAACACAATTAGGAGGAGATCGACCCACTGATAGTTCTTACATAGATAGTATGAACCTTTTTCTAAAGATAGGGATAACTATCGACAGATTCTACGATGTTAGAACACTCTGATTGTTAAACGTTTGTCAATAACTCAGTCAGTCTCATAGTCAGAAGGACGCCACAATCTTTAAAAATGGTCAGAAGACATCCTGTAGGGTTATTTGTAGCGGCTAAAGAGTTGGAATACCTTGTGAACTCCCACCTTGTTAAGTGGATTAGTCGTCACCGAACATGAGAGACAGGACAGTGTGACTAATAGCTCTGTGCCAGAAAACCAACTGAGCTATTCCTCGAAAAACTTCCCATTATCTAAGACGTCGCAGGACTGGTGTTTCATCAGCTCCATAGATTGTTTCGCTCACACCAGACTTCTTGCTGCTAGTGTGGCTCAGGTGAGTTGGAAAGGTTTCCGAAAGTTACCATGTACAGCTGCTACTTACAGCTCTTATGCACGCTCCGACCATCTGATTTTTCGGTCCTCACGCAAACTTTGCACTATTTGTTTGCGTAACAGACATCTTACGTCGTTGAACTTGCGGTTACCTGGAGTAGATTAACGTACCTCAATGGGCTGTGAGAAGCCTGTAGAAAGCCAGTTCTTATAATTAGGATATTTCGTGACTTTACTCAACATATTGAAGATGTCATGCAAAGTTAAGACAGACAATTGCGATTATTCAACCTGTGACCAACAAGTCGGACGCACTTTTTCTAGATAACTGGTGACAGAACTCAAACCTGACTGCATCCGGACTGCAATATGTAGTGGGGAGAGCGGAAATAACGAGAAGACATCGTTTCTCACACTGGATTCCCACTTTGATGAGACTTTCTGATCTAACAGCTCATTATCTACTGTTAGTGGACATCCAGTGGATTAGCGTTGCACTTAGTGTGACACCAACGCCAACAGCACCAGACAAATGTGCCACAGAATCCCCGAATAACTGCACGAGAAACGAGCTTGAATACGGGTCTTGGATAGATAACGGACATAGATGTTCAAACGTTTTGAAAACATAGTCAACCCTAGCTGCTGTCCGACCTTCATTAACGTGTGAATGTTGAAACAAACCAGTTCTGACGGCATGCGCGGTTTCAGATAAGCTGCTTCAGAATTCGTATTTGGTGGTAGCATTCAAATTTCAAACAGTCAGTCAGTCAGTTACAAGGTAGAACTTCGTACGTAAGTACATCAGTTCAAGTTGCCATACCACGTTAGCATAGAGACACAATTGTCGATTCATAACCAATAGTGCTAGAGGTAGTAGATGTATAAGTAGTAATCCGAGAGATTAGGGTTCGAGGAAATCATTCAAGAAGTAGAATCTACTTAGGAAATATTCAGAAGGTTAGGATTTGAGAGAACACAAAAAATGGATGCACCTGCGCCATCGCTAACGGTTTTGAGCCATGTCATTCAAGGTCTCTAACCATCGATTATTATCATCTCGCGGACCCCAACCAGGTAGTCGACAACTACCGACATGACTCAGTCCATTTGTTAGTGATTTCATGGATTGCTGCCATGTTTTGGTCTGGCCGCCCCTAACTTTCTTCCAACCTACTCCTACACTACAAAACAAAGCTCTTCGAGGCAGTCGGTGGTTAGGCATACGTAACACATGTCACAACCACCTCAACTGATGAAGTTTCACCACTTCATCTATTGACCTGCCATCCTTACCTAGCAACCGTCTCCTAATAACAGCGTTTCTCACTCGGGTGTCCCACGATATATTAGCAATGCTTCGAAGACACCTATGATCGAAAACCAATAACCGACGAATATTTTCTACTCTCACTGGCCATGTTTCACAGCCATAAAGTAAGACGGAGCGAACTACTGTGCAGTACACTCGTCCTTTAGTCAGCAAACGGATATCTCGCCCACGCCATAAGTGACGCAGGTTGGCAAAAACCAATTGAGCCTTCTGTATCCGTGCTGAGATTTCGTCAGTCACCAGGCCATCAGCACTAATGAGACTCGCAAGATTAGTGAGGCGGTCTACACGCTCGACTAATTCACTCCCTATCACTAGTTCAGGTGCCGATGAAACCCAGTCTTGAAGCAACATTTTGCATTTCGAGAGGGAAAACCGCATCCCGAACATGCTTGCATTGTTGCTTAGGGTGGTCAGAAGACTCTGCATTTTGTCAGCGTCTTCACCAAGTAGGACAATGTCATCGGCATATTCTAAGTCAATAAGCGAGCTACCTGGTAGAAAGTCTACTTCTGAAAATTCAGACGATGTTATATCTAGGAGCATGTCTATGATAGAATTAAACAAGAATGGGGAGAGTGGACATCCCTGACGGACACCACTTGAAGTAAAGAATTCTGATGACAGTTCGCCATAAGCTCTCACTCGACCAGTGGTGTTCGAGTAGAGAGCTTGTATAAGGTTAATGTACTTCTTTGGTACATCTTTTAATGACAGACACTGCCACAGAACCTCACTATAAAAGGAGTTGAATGCCGCTTGGAAGTCCAGTGACTTGAGATAGATAGGACAATATTTCTACCATATGTGCTGTATGGGTTGAAGAGTAAGAAATTCTCAAAATGGGAATAAATGAATGACACAACGTACAGTAAAAACGAATGTTATCAAATAATTGTAAGTACTGTTTGTGGGTGCGAGAGTTGAAGCGATCATAAAATTTTTCAGTTTTAGTCATCATTTGGTTTGTGTCTGGACTATAATACCACCCGGGTGCCTAAACCAAAAAAAGATTTTTTCAGGGCCACTTCTCGAGCCCTTGACCAAGAGATCTAGTACACAAGACAGTGCAGCAACGTTAGGAAATCTTGTCTCATGGTAGCTGGTGGCCAAGGATCGGTTCATGCTCCATTTATTCCCCCAGAATCCCGAAGTCTATGTACACTATCGATTTGGAACCAAGGTTTTCTAACTCCGCTACGAAGAAAGATCCTTCATACTCACGAACCCTGTTAAAGGACCGGATAGTCGTTTTTCATCTCAGTTTCGTAGACCACACCTACTCCACCAGAAAGTAGTGAGCAGGACTTTACTGTCAATCACCATGTACGCATGGCTATATGACAGCATTTCGAGAGGGAGAGGAGCCTCGCTCTCTCGGCCGTACCAGGGCACTTGGGGGCAAACAGTACATGCTAAGTCAGTGCATATACGCCCAAGACTAAACCCAGTAGATTTTCATCAGGAAAATCTAGAGAGAAAGCTGTTTTAAAGAATAGATGAAACCATCCCGTATGCATGTATAGTTGTTATACCTTCTAGAGATTATATACAGCTTTTAGAGCAGCCATGGTGTTAACTGAGATGTTGAATACACAATATTAAGCAGATGAAGGGTAAAGCTAAGTCAAACAGATTTTTAAGCTGTAACTATAAGTTTTATTCGTTTCCTCAGGATGGTGTTCTAAACGACTGGCTAGGTTTTAGATACATCAGTAACACTAACTTTGAAATTAGATTGAAAAAACCTTTCGACTAAAACATCCATGTGTCTATTAGGATGCAGAAAAATATTCATTGGCTTCAGAGCATGATCGAAGTCCAGAAATTCTGCGCAGCATTTAGCACTGTCACTACTTAGCTGGGAAGATCGACGTATGACAGTAGAGGACATGAATATGTTGCAAGCATCTGATTAAGTAAGTCAGGAGTAGGTTAAAATGTAAAAAAGTAAACAGATCAATGAGTTTTCACGTCAGTGTTAGTGTATGTGGGTAGAATACCTACCAATTAGACTCACACCGCCAACCCTAATAACAAAAGCTGATTTAAAATATATGGACAGAGATGGTACTACTTACTAAAGTAATTAGCTGTGGTTTTAAACCATAATAGGATTTGAGGCGAAACAGCAACCTATGGCAGGAAGCCCTAGTTAACAATATCTAGAAACCAGTTATTCAGTCAGTATTAATCAATATAGACCATATCACAACTGTACACTAGCACGGACGCAAATGAAATTACTAACCACCTTTGTTTGAACCCTATGCCCTATCTCAGGTTTTTTCCGACAAATTTAGAGCACAACTGGGTTACTAGTAGCTATGAAAGACATTTGGATTCCGCTTTTGGTTTTTCCTTAGCTTAACTAGTGAGGTTAAAACGATCAAGTTAGGAGAACTGAGTGATAATTAACTACCATGTAGGTAATACTAGTGCTAAATTACAAGATCTTTCACAAATTCTTTAGACGATGCTAACAAATTTTTATACACTTCAGGTATCTACAGCATGTTGGTAAAAAGAAATATGGTCCTGAAGTGAGTTTTAAAAAACTTTCAACGGAATGTACAACAATCATCAGTCAAGGTTTAGCGCCCGTAACTAGCTACATGACCTCTATTGTGAGGGATCAGGCATCTGCTCCTGGTAAATATCAGAGCTAATTGAGAGGAAGCTTTTTAGTGTATATACATAACCAATAGAACTAGTTAAACAGTCTAGATAAGTCGAAGATCTGATACATTCTCAAGAAAACTGCATCATACTGCGTTAATAGCAATATGATAACTTGGAAAAATACGATCGAAGACAACAGTAAGCACATTATATTATTCAAACTCTGAGCGCAAGGACATAGAGGTGAAAAGACAGCAAAACGAATACATACCTCTTTGTCATTACAGGAGATGATGAAAAACTTTGCATCCTTAAAGACACTATGTTCCATAGGAAACGTCTAGTTTATCTCCAGCGCCAATCGCATCACTCAAAAGTTGCGCAAAAGGTTGAATGAAGATGATCAAATTCTTATTGATTTTCTCACACTTAAGATACTGATGAGTAACAAGGCTAATGTCCGTATTTGTTATTTACATGGAAAAGCCTTACTATATTTCTAGTATATGTGCAGGTATCTTTAGTCATTTGTAAAGGTGTGTTATATTTACTCTCTCTACTTCTAATTTCGCTTTCCGGATTATCTAAATATGAGGATTGCGTGGTTTCTGATTGTATTTTGTTACTATCCTTGTTAAACTTGTGTGTGGTCGGCTGACTTCTACTTTTGTTCTTCTTTTCAAGTTTTCGCCACTAACAATAATGTGCCTGCCGTCGTATTACATAAGGTACGTTCCAGCTAGATGTGGAGCAAAAAACCTTTAGTATTTGATTTTGGAATTTAAAGCAATTTAGCTGATTTTAAACGGTACAGCAGAAACTATTTTCTAACGAGTTTTCACGTCTACAAACCACCACTACCTCCAAATAAAGCACCTCAGTAGATTTGGTGTTTAATCCAGACATTTTGACTTCAAATAGCTTTATCCTCATTTTGGGATACGAAGCTTATTAGAACATATGACCTCTAAATAAAGTGCTTTAGTACCATCATAAAATTTATTATGAATTATATATATATATATAATACTCTATTTGGTAGCTTCTCTATCAGTTAACCGTATTCATCATTTCATCGGCATATGAATTTATGGGACATGTAGAGTCAGTAGTACTCTGGATGATGTAACAAATGTAATCAGAGTTTACTAGAATAAAGGAAAGATCTAGAGCTATATCAGCAGCAATAAACTACTCGAGAAGGAGAACAGCATGCCAGTATAAAGACTTATATTGTCAAGAAATAAATGACGCTATCATGGTACTAAGGGGAAGCCTTTTACACAGTGCAGTCTTAAATATCACTCTGCAAGCTCCGTCTATACAGGTCTTGCACTTTTTTCAGAATATATGAACCTTATCACCCCGCAACAAAAAATAGCAGATTCATATTGATAACATCACACTTGATGACTTTGTCACTTTACAACAGTTTGCATTCATTTTAGCGCAGTGAAGATTAGATAAAACTAACTCATTCTTCCATGTGCTTTACTCTAACCGTCAGTCTCTCTTCTATTCTAAGAAACTAATGATTATTCTATTTTATCAAACGCTACTACAACCCATCTAATCCAATTTCACTCTGATTCTCCTTAACAATATAGTTCATGTTGTAGTGGAATGCTTTTACAAAGAGAACGCTATTGGTTTAATAGAAACAATCATTATTGTAGCCAATTCTAATTTCCGTTTTCTTTCGACACAACGAAATCACCAGCAAATATATTCTTTACCCTGGATTTATTTATCTTCTCAGCAACGGGTCCGTAATTAGTATTCAGCGGTGATCATAGTAAATCTCGGCTCGACTTACTCAATATAATTTGTGAGCCAACGTCTTTATCAGGATAGGTCAATTACGGTGAGTATATTATTCATCTATCCTCATTTTTATCAAGTTGCAATACTATCAATGATGTCCTTTAAGATATATTATACTTTCAGAAACGTTTCAAAATGGTAGATAGCTATACTAATAGGCTTCGAAGTGTAGATCATTGCATTTTCACCTGTCTCCTACTCGTCACCTGAGGTTGATTGTCTGTGTTACGTGCATGAATTTTGCATTAACGCTAGGTACTTGGTGGACACAAATGTCCAAGTTTCTGTCGTATCGTCTGGTAGCAGCAAATCACAAGCTATGATGCTTCGACCACGAGCTGCGAATGGCTCTGTCATTCCTACCTATGGTACTCGATCAACCTGAATAATCGATGACAGTATCTACGGACGTTCATCCTTGCTGATGTTCCCACAGCCATACTCGGTATCGATTCCCTACAGCTCTATGAATCTATATTTCGTCCAATATGGAATCCATGGATCTTAACGTGAAAACAGACATGTACTGAATCGCTAATATATATTTCGCATTATTATTTATTTCATGTTATATTTGATAAATTACCAAAATTAACGAAACCGACGAGATTCAATTGGTTATTAATTATGTGGTAAGCCACATCGTCATATTCAGACCTCCAGTCACGGCAAAACCTCGCCGACTGGCACTGGACAATTCAGTTTTTGCTAAGCCTGAGTTTGACAGTTTACTCGCTATATGTATTACTTCGTCCTTTAGCTTCCTCTCTCCATTTGGTTAGCAAAAAGATGGCATTTGTTGGAGACGATACGGCGATTACTGAGCAGCAACGGCAGATGTCCAGTGTTCCGCCTCCGAACCTGTATACCGCACGACATTTAATCTGCCTGAAGAAAAGTTTTTGCATCACAGAGCAGCGATTTTATGTATATTGGATAACGTCCAACGACTATCTGCGTAGATGCGAATACTGCCTCTGGTGTGAACATCGACAGGTCGCTCTCCCTCGAAAGTTATTTACTTGTCCATACGTTTTCTTACGAGTAGATTTGGAACGCAAACGTTTGCTATAACCTTATGAAGGATCTTTTCATGTGATCTCTGGTCACTAAAAGACCTTCAAGGTTGATGGATACAGTCAGCATTGATCGTCTCAAACCAGCGCACGTCAACAAAAGTGCCCTAACTGGTAAACCGAAATTCAGTGCTAGACCAGTCCAAATCACTAGCGGGATCACGATGTGTCCTTCGGACCCCACTCTAGATCCGTCCTACGTCTGCCGCGTTTTCTGGTCCAGACCGTGACGAACGCAATCTTCAGATTCTGCATACGAGCCATGTTGGTGTGACACGCCAACTCAAACAGCAATCATGTCACATTACCGCTGGTACAGTTCCTCGTAGAAGACCTTCAATGGCAACTCAAGCTTCATTGGTCGCCTCCCGTTCGTCAGCCCTTCCGCTCTACGATCGCACGTGGGTCGACCAGTCTCCCGAACGGAACCGATACCTGTCGAAAGTGTAAACCCTTTCTAGTTAGGGCCGCTGTATTGGAATTCATGTACGAAGAGAACAAAATTGATGAAATAGAAACATTTTCTATTGTACACATGTCAGGCATGCACGTAAACACGTCATTTTGATATGCTTGAACTATTACGCGTTTACCTAGTTGGGAAACGAGGGCGAAGATCAAGGTTCATGCTTCTCAAGTCCGATTATCCCAACCCGCACATTGAGTAAAAATAAGACTTGATTTGAAGTAGAAAATGTGATCTACAAGCATCCAGAAATACGAGGGCCGAGTCCAGAAGAAAATCAGAATCCCGGACTAGGGATCCGAGACTGGGTCCTGGTCATAAAATGTTACACATAATGCGTATTTATACATTTTGGTCGAATAAGAAACAGCATCGAAGTCTGTGACATTGACAGTTGAGACTACCAATAAGAAGCAACATTTGAATTGATCAGAAAAAATAACTCAAATCATCTTAGCTCTGCCCTAGGAGTTGGAAGAAGAATTATGACGTCTCGTGATGAAAGCCGATTCCCTCGGAAGTCACGGGGCTGATGCCTCTTCTGACAACCAGAGCAACCACTTTTTTAGGTACATGGAACGTTGATAAATTGTGGAAGACTGGAAGACTATTTCGAGTTGCGACAGAAATGAAAAGATACAACCTCGAGGTGCTCGGCATCAGTGAAACACACTGTACACAGGTAGGACAACTGAGAATTGCTTCAGGAGAACTGCTGTTATACTCTGGTCAAGAAGAGCGAAATGCTTCACATACACAAGGAGTCGCACTGATGCTTTCCAAACATGTACAAAAGGCACTGATAGGATGGGAATCTCATGGACCGAGGATCATTAAAGTATCCTTCAAAACAAAGAAAGCGGACATTACAATGAACGTCATCCAATGTTATGCACCTACCAATGACAGAAGTTTAATACGGCCTTTCTTCGGGATACTGTAAAGCTCAACGAATTCAAGATAGCCCTCACCAACAGGTTCCAGGCCTTTCAGGATCTACTCAATGGAGAGGACGCAACATTGGAGAACAATCGGAAAGGGATTAAGGAGGCAATCACTTCAACATGTCACGAAGTTCTGGGTCACAAAAAGTACCATCACAAGGAATGGATGTCTGTTGGTACTCTTGCAAAAATCGAAGAAAGGAGGAACAAGAAGGCAGCAATCAATGTCAGCCGAACAAGAGCGGAGAAAGTTACCGCACAAGCTGCATACACAGAAGCGAATAGGGAACTGAAGAAGAGCATCAGAGCTGACAAACGAAAATATGTGGAAGATCTAGCAATGACGGTGGAAAAGGCTGCAAGAGAAGGAAACTTGAGACAATTGTACGAAACAACAAAGAAGCTCGCTGGAAACTATCGTAAACAAGAACGACCAGTGAAAAGTAAGGAAGGCAAAGTAATCAGCAACACTGAACAACAGCGAAATAGGTGGGTAGAGCACTTTCAAGAACTCTTGAATCGACCAGCTCCACTGAACACACTTAACATCGAAGCAGCATCCACGGATCTCCCAATTAATATTGGCGCACCTACAATTGAGGAGATCAGTATGGCCATCAGACAAATCAAGAACGGCAAAGCAGCACGACCAGACAACATTCCAGCAGAGGCAATGAAAGCAGATGTAGAAGCAACCGCGAAAATATTTCACATCCTGTTCAAGAAGATTTGGGATGAGGAACAAGTACCATCAGATTGGAAAGAAGGATACCTCATCAAAATACCAAAGAAAGGAGATCTCAGCAAGTGTGAGAACTACAGAGGCATCACTCTTCTTTCAATACCAGGCAAAGTCTTCAACAGGGTATTGTTAAACAGAATGAAGGACTTCGTAGACGCCCAACTTCGAGATCAACAGGCCGGATTTCGGAAGGATCGATCGTGTACTGACCAAATTGCTACATTACGGATCATTGTGGAACAATCAATTGAATGGAACTCACCACTCTACATCAACTTCATCGACTACGAGAAAGCATTCGATAGCGTGGATAG